CTCCGCCAGATTAAATATTAGAGCCTAACACAACGTGGAGCGGCGACGCACTGGCGCCTACAAACCTAACAGGGATACTTCACGCATTGCGCAACGCGTGAAGTATCCCTGTTAGGTTTGTAGGCGCCAATGCATGTTTCGCGCTGGCTGCCCGCCTGCCACGGCGCTTGAAGCAACAATTTCATACCTGAGGTATTGCACAGTATCATACGAAACTGAAGGCGCTCTAATATATTAGTAATGGAAGGCATCCATTAAAAGTACGGAGCTTTCCTCAAATAAATCAAGATACTACGGCCCAAAAAGAGAGCAGTCTTCAAAAAACTCACTAAGTCCTAGCATCCGTAATTAGTAACGTTTAGCATACACTTTATCGCCTGGCTTTTGCTTAATCGCCATCGGCTATAAAAGGCTATAAGAAATTGTGTAGCCGGCTATAGAAGCTGTTGGAAATCTTACAGCCGGCTGTAGGTCTATGGTATTTTGGAACACAGATTCTACTGCCAATTTTTACTAGGGTTCCTTTATTCTAAATACATTTCGAGCTCGATGCTCACAATCAGTAGAAAAGGTGACGAAGATAGGACTACATACTGCCGTGACAGCGAAGAGAGCAGTAAATGCATGCTGGGATGAACCTCGAGACACATAAAAGTATGTGCAAACCATGGCTCATAGAGATATACACTTACTGCTCTTTTGGCTATCACGGCTGCATTAGTGAAAGATGTGCTATTTACATGCATTTCAATACAGATTACAACAACGAACGAACATGTTCCAATGAATACAAAGTAAGAATGGAAGTAAATGACGAAAGGCAAATAAAGTCAATAGTGACGAAAGGATTGTCAACATTAATTGCATCTCGGTATATTATTTTTACAATTTAACAGAAATATTTCTTAGAAAGGGTATGGGGGTCCATGGTCAACAATTTCTCATTGGAGGGAAGAGGGGCTCAAAGTAAAAACCCCCTGGACTCCCCCTTTAATTTAAAGGGGGAGTCCAAATAAATTAATAAAGGGGGGCGGGTGAATAAATTACTCTGTATTGCAAATTTTCGGGTTGTGGAGAGGGGTAATGGCCCAGACCCTATGAGCGTCTTCTTCCCTTGTCGACGCCACTACCGAGACGTCTTCATTCTCCATGCAAAGGGACGTGAATAAGGGACGGCTCGGTTTGATTTTTTGTGGGGGCGAATTTAAATTGAGTCGCCGGTCAGGAGCAGGGACGAGGGGAGGGGACAGAGGACTGGGACTGCATTAAGGGCGAGGGATCGAAACGAAAGACCACAGGGGGGAAGGGGAGGGGGGGCATGTACCCTGTGCCCGGCCGGGGCGGAAAACAAACGAGAGACATTACGCGTAATCGGGACGATGTGATAAATTCTCTCCGGTTTTTCACCGAAAACAACGGTCTAAATTCCTTGATTTGTTTGTCTTTCCGCCGCCAACAGATCAATGCGAATTTGTCGCGACGTTGCGAGGGTCGTAGATTCCCGATTTTTCGGTCGGGAACGAAGGTTGTATCGCTTATCGCTTGAATTGAAATTGCGGCAGAATATCTTTTCCGCACAAAGTACATTAGTGGTAATTTTTCCGATTATCGTTGCCGCACAAAATCATTTCCGCACAAATTAGATCAACAATTTATGGAAGAAATAGCAAGAAGGAGTTGAAGTCTAAGCGCGCTCTTGAAAATAATGGAAAATTCACGGACGAAAATCTGGACCCTGACGATCCCTGTTGGACTGCTGAGTAAGGTAAGAAATAATTGTTTCAATCTTTGTTCACTCATTTTTCTTAAATATGCCTCATAATTTTCTCGACGTTGCCATATCCTATATACTACAGAAAATGATTTGTGCGGAAATGATTTTGTGCGGCAACGATAATCGTAAAAATTACCACAAATGTACTTTGTAACCCCAATATGTAACCCTTCCAAAAATTAACCGGAAAATATGAGCGATCCAGATACTTTGTGCTCTACCCCATCGATTTTAACACAAAATGTCGGTTTCTTTTTTCTCCTGAGTATCGCTCCATTTCAACCCTTGACTTCCTTGTCTATAGCTATGTCTATCAATTTCAAAAACAGCCCGCTGATTGGAGTATGGAACTTCGACGGATGGAATCATCTACATTATTGGCCTCAATTTCACGAGTAAACAGAGACACGACGTCGATGAGAGCGCCTGTTTGAGGCTTTGTTGATGTCGTAGATAGGTCGATAGCGCAGGGGTCCTCGCACAGTGGATCGAGTCAATTAGAAAGGTCGGACGTCAAATTTTTGACTAAAACTGCATATTTTGATGTTTGTTTCGTCGAATTTTAAATTTCAATAAGTGTCAACAGAAGAAAATTTTACGAGGAAACCAACGGAACCACTTTCAGAACCTCTAAGTTTTGTATAAACGGAGTTATAAGCGTTTGAAGTTTCAACGATGGAGATGTTGCATGTGTGAGGAATTTGCGATTTGACTATTGATTCTTATGTAAAAGTTCGCGAGAAACACGATGGTACCACTAGTTTTCTCTGAAATCAACTCTCAAGCTCAAAAAAAGCTCTCAAGTTGAGGCCAAAATGGAGGGGATATCCCACGCTATCCTGAGAGTCCAACCTCTACATCAAGGCAAACTCTTCATGCAAAGATAGGGAGCAAATACATTGACAGGGCTGCCACCTTATTTGGGGACTCCAAAACTGAAATCACGGCAACCCTGCTAATGTATTTGCTCCCTATCTTCGCATGGAGAGTTTGTCTTGATGTAGAAGTGGACTCTCAGGATAGCGTGGGATATCGCCCCCATTTTGGCCTCAACTTGAGAGCTTTTTTTGAGCTTGGGAGTTGATTTTAGAGAAAACCAGTGGCACCATCGTGTTTCTCGCGAACTTATACATAAGAATCAACAGTCAAATCGCAAATTCCTAGCACATGCAACATTTCCATTTGGACATACCGTAGGTCAGATTGCAAACGACGTTCTTCAAAGAATTAGAAGAAAAATATCCTCAGATTTTCCAGGGAATTTGCATTTTATTAAGGGAGGTTTTCCAACGTCCACTGTGCGTCGCTTCGGAGGAATGACAAGACGAACAAGCATTTGAGCGTTTAATCGTTGTTATTCGAATGTTCTACGTTTCCAGACCGGATTGATTGCCGTCCACCCTACTTAAACGGCGGAAAAACGCTCCGAGCCGAGACATCGATGAAAATGGCGCCGTGCTAAGTAAGAACGCCGTACGAGCATTCAAATGTTGCCGAATCATCCCTCTGAAAATATTTATTTTCGAGGAAAGTTATGAATCATTTTCCTCGAACTGTGCAGACACCTTAGATTCACTGGAAAAAAAACAAAACAAAAAAAACACATTGGATCTAGAGTCCAGACTCTTGAAAAACATTGACAAGAAAAAATACTCTTGATTCAATCGGATTTTTGCTTGAATCAAAACGAAATCCGCTTAAATTAAGAGGCTTGGTTCTTGATTTAAGCCAGATTCTGATTGAATCAAGAGTACTTTTTCTTGTCGATGTTTTTAAGAGTCTGGACTCTAGATCTAATGTGTTTTTTTTTCCAGTGTCGAATTGCAAAAAAAATATCCTGAAAAATTGGAAGAAGGGTATTTACAAATTTTCCCGGAAAATCGTGATTTGTTAAAGGAAATGTGGCAACATCTAAAGGCTCATACGGCTTTTTTCCTTAGGACAGCAGCGTGAGCCATGAATTTCGAGACCGGCAATAAAATGAAATGCGACCGGCCGCGGCCGCCGAGGAAAAAGGATCGTTGCGCTTTCAATGCTCGCGATCTCCCATCGGAAAATCCCTTAAATTACGTTTCTCGAAGGGGCCGAGTAGATTTCTACGAGCTGATTATTAAAAGTTTATAGACAACTCGATGGACGAAGGGAAAATGGAGCTATCGAAGGTTTGGTTACACGATCAAACTGAACCATCTCTCGTTGGTCGCATCCTCACCTCAGGTCTTTCCCCACGAATCAGAGCTTCAGTTTGATGGCTCAATTTGATCGTGTGACTGGAACTTTATTGATTGGCGGGGGCAGGGTTGTCGGCGCACAATAGATCGAGTCAATCAGAGAAGTCGGACTTGAAATTTTTGACTGAAACCGCAAATTTTGGAGTTAATATCGTCACATTTTAAGGTACGTGGGGTGCTTCGAGGAGAAAATTTTACGAGGAAACCAATGGAGCCACTTTCGATAAACCTCAACGGTTTGTGTAAACGGAGTTATAAGCGTTTAAAGTTTCCAAATTTTGTCCGACCTCTCCTAATTAACTCGATCCACTGTGCGGCGGTCTGAAAAACCGGCAAGTTGAGGAAAAGTCAGGAAATTTACAGGGAAAATCAGGGAATTTTGCGGGGTGCGCCTGTGAGTGTAATTGAAAGGGGAAAAAATCAAGGTGGAAGTTTTGATGTCAGGGAAAGTCAAGGAATCCGAAAATTTTGGAGTCATGGAAAAGCAAAAATAGTCTGGAAAAAGTCAGGGAAAGCAAGGGAATTTGATGATGAGGAAATTATGGCAACTCTTCGGGTGATTCTTGCAGACTACAGAGGAAAATAATGGACGAACTATGAAGTTTCTCGTGGGTTGCCGTTAGTTTTTCCGTTATTAATTTCCTTTTCCCATTGCCACCATCCGCTTCCACGAATGGGATCGCTCTATGTTACCTTTATCTTCTCTGTCTACCACTTTGTCTATCAATTTTAATAATTCAATCGTTGGAGGGACAAGCCTCATTAGACACTTAGTTCCTACTATAGTTTTATTAATATACATGGAGCTGTATCATCAGTGCAAGGTAGTGTAGGCTATAGATCATCAAGGGGCGAGCGAAGGGACCTATTGGTTGCTGGGGACCGGGAATCGTCCGGATTTCACGATGCGTAAGTTGAATTTTCACTTTGGATCGACCTCGCCTGCGTTTTTTATCAGCAAAAATAGCACAGCAAGTAGAAAGCTCCTTGCTTACCTTAAATTTTGTGGTAATCCTTTTTTGTAATCCAGAGACAGATGAAATTACTCCTTACGGACAGGACAGGAAACTTCACACGGAATCCAGAACTTTCTCACTGAACAGAAACGTTTCACTCTCGGCTAAATTATTTTCGAGCCCCTCTACAATATCGGGCGTAAGTTCTGACACAAAGAAAGGAGGGAATATATGGTTTAAAAATTAAATAGAAAACTGAAACCGAGCACACATGAGGTAAAATCGAACTGTTCTCCCGTTTCACTCGATTCCTCGATATCTTTTTTTTAAAACACAAACAGAGGTAGAAAATTATTAGGAGTAATATTAACGATAGCGGACAACTACAATAATAAACGCCGGTTCACTTTTTAAAGGACTCCATTCTTGGGAATTGAGTAAATTTTTCACTGACTTCAGTGATCACTGATCATCCACTGACTTTGGACCCACAACTACGCTTCAGTGTGGTAAAGGAAACGACGCTCAGTAGGAAAGAACTTGAGACGGCCAAACAAAAAAGTGTTTTAAAACCACAAAAAATAATTTAAAGAAAAACGCTTCGTAAAGCTTCGCTAGAATTAACTTCAAATGATTATAACATTTCTAATAGGAAATGATGATGGGATTCGGCAAGACACGTTAGCACGCACAACGTCCGATCAACGATTTTAATTCAATAGGAGATCTGAGAAACAATATCCGTCGACGGTGGGTTTAAAACATTTCACCGGCTTATTATTCAAAAGACGCGAACTTAACGATGAGATCATTCCGATGGATATTCAAGTGAGATCAATCGGGAAGACACGTGAAGCACTTGTAATTTCAGATCCAAGGATTTATTTCAATACACAAAACGGGTCTCTTGGACTCTTTGACCTCGAAAAACACGATCCGTAACAACGGAGGTCTTCAATTGTTTTATCCGTGCGATTTCACCGGACGGTAATTTGCAAACGTGAACTTTGAAGGGATTTTAAAGTAATTTGAAATTCTCAGGTGGGAAAAACGGCAAGACACGCGAAGCACTAAAAATTTCAGATCCGGGGTTTTGCTTCATTACACAGCACAAGCTATTCTCGGATCTCGAGATTTTGGAAGTGCCCCACTCAATTCGCGAATGCGAGTGTTCCGGGACGACGAGAGAATACGAGAACGCGAGACGGAGGAAAGCGCGGGGCGACACGCGGAGCGTCGGCGAAGTTCACTGCACCACTGACGACGACGGGAGAAAACGCCGACACCCTCCGATGAATGGGGAGAGCGCGGGACCTGGCGTGGCGTGGCGTTGCGTCACTGCGCGGCGCGGCGCGCCTCGAGCGCGGGGGTTCCGCGGAAAAACCGAGGGCGACATTGCGACACCGCCCTCCGTGAGCCTGTAAACCGTAAAATGGACCCGTAAGTGGGTCACTTCCTAGGAGAAAAAAGAGGTGGTCGCATTTTGAGGATTTGTTTACCGCCGGACGTAGTATAGATGTCGCAGGCAAATATTCAAATTAGGCATTTTGTTAAATGCCAAGGCCAATAGTCAAAATATTCTTGTTTAGACTGAAATTCTGATTATATTGCTGACTGTAGACGAAATAATTCCCTGATCATGTGGAAAAGAATTCACTGTAAAAACTTGTTCCATACGATCATAAATACGTTTTTTCTAGTCCTTTAATACGAATTTATCTTAAAATATGCAGCATTTCGTAGAATAAAACGTTTTCACAATTTGGACGGATGAGGAATTATGAGGAGAAGAAATAAAATGACAGTTTTTACTTGAGCGGATTTTTGGTCTCAAAATATTGAAAATTAGAGAGGTCTTTGTGAAAACGTAAAAAACCTCGTAAACTGTGAAACTTTAAGTATCCGCCTAGGCATTTGATAAAATGCCTGATTTGAATATTTGCCTGCGACATAGGCACACAGTGAGAAAAAGTGACCCAAATCTTGTGTTAATACAGGAAGTAAAACGCATAGAGTACATATGGACTGCATTTTGCAATTTGGACCTATAAATTCTGGCTCATCTGAAAAAACACTTATGTGCATAAGGAAACTAATGGTACATACGTTGTTTTTAAACCGGGCCGGAATTTATAGGTCCAAATTGCAAAATGCAGTCCATATAGTCGTAATAAAAATGGGAGAGCTGCCGCCATGTTCTGGTTCCGAGCCCGGTGTGCGCCGAGCTTCGGACACTTTTTCAATGCATGTTCGATCCAAAATGGAGGAGTGGAACACGTGGGAATTCCTATCTTTTTGTTTACATCGGATGGCCGGATAAACGCAGATCGAAAACAATCTATCATGTATCGAAAAAGTGACCCGGCGTCACACAGGAGTCACGGAATTCGGAACCTGGAAAATGCTTAAAAGTGACGCCAGCTCTCCCACTTACATTACGACTATGTGCTCTACGGTAAAACACGAGGTAAACTGTTGGTTGGTTTTCCTCGTGTTAATTTTCCCTGTGTCAAATCGACCAAATCTTTGGGTTGAGAAGATAACCCTGGTAAAAATTGGCAGTAGAATCTGTGTTCCAAAATACCATAGATCTACAGCCGGTTGTAAGATTTCCAATAGCTTCTATAGCCGGCTACACAATTTCTTATAGCCTTTTATAGCTGATGGCGATTAAGCAACTCACAGCCAGGCGATGAAGTGTATGCTAAACGTCACGAATTACGGATGCTAGAACTTCGTGAGTTTTAGGACCACTGCTCTCTTTTTGGGCCGTAGTATCTTGATTTATTTGAGGAAAGCTCCGTACTTTTGATGGATGCCTGCCATTCCTAATATATTAGAGCGCCTTCAGTTTCGTATGATGCTGTGCAATACCTCTGGTGTGAAATAGTTGCTTCAAGCGCCGTGGCAGGCGGGCAGCCAGCGCAAAACACGCATTGGCGCCTACAAACCTAACAGGGATACTTCACGCGTTGCGCAATGCGTGAAGTATCCCTGTTAGGTTTGTAGGCGCCAGTGCGTCGCCGCTCCGCTTTGTGTTAGACTCTAATATGTAATCTGGCGGAGTCAGCGTTATTCAACTCATGATTTTGAAATGTTTGCACATCCTGTATGGATTATTCTCGTTTTGATTGATAAAAAAATATGTATTGAAGGAAAATATAATGTGTGTTTTGTAAATATTAAGGTGGTTCCGTATCAAACTTAATGATTTCCAAAGCACACGAATTTATACACTATTTCTTAAAGCCTTCTATAATCGATGGCGAAAAAGCAACAGCCAGGCGATAAAGTGTAAAGCCCGGCGATAGGAACTACAGCCCGGCTGCATGATTTTTTATCGCTTCGTATGGCCCTACCGTATGCTTTTCTCCGCATTCTACAGCCAGCTATATGATTTTCTGTAGCCTTCTTTAGCCGGCTATAAGAATTCCTATGATATTTAAAAACGCAGTTCTTATCGCCAATTTTAACCAGGGAAAGTTTGCACAGTGTTCTTTCTGAGGATGGCAAAGTGATCCTGCGGGCTGATTATTGACATTGATAGACAAAGTCATAGACAGAGGAGACAACAGGGGATATGGAGAGATCCTATTGGTGGAAGCGGGTGATTGTAAAGGACAAAGGAGGTAGGTAATAGACTAACTAACGGCAACCCACGAGACACCCTACAGTTAGTCCATCATTTACCGCCTTAGTCTAGACAAACCCATTCATTTCAACCAATAAGATTGCTCCATACTCCCCATGTCAACTTTGTCTACCAATTTCAACAATCAGCCCGCAGGTCCCTGGGTCGAAAAAGTTTCTAGGGTTTCTCCCTGTGTGGATCACAAAGAAGATGACAAAAATTCGGGTCTTGCTGGAGGTTGGGATTCCGTCGACGGAGCCTCTCCTTTTCATTGTCTCCGCGAATGAATAATTATTATTATGACTCAATAGCAGACAAAGATAATTAAAATGTGATGGCAAAGAGAAACGCGGGGCGGGCAGAGCGGGGCGGTGGCCTCGGAAACGCGATCTCAAAGCGCGAAAGAAAAGGCCGGAGTCGAAGGGATGAAGGAGCAAGGTAACTCGACCCGAAATACCACCTCGCCCTTATCGGAGGAAAGGTTTCCACTCTCCAGCCGTCCCTTCCGCCGACTCGCCCGTCCTTAATTTCAGCGCCTGAAACGCGAGGAAACGAAAGACGGAGAGCGAAAATTTGAAAGCGGCTTCAGTCCAGGAACTGGACCGCGTTAAGCACAGAACAAGGTGTCTAGGTTTCTTGGCAAAGCTCATTCCCTGTTTTTCCCCTGATTTTTCCCTGATTTTCAGGTGCTCATTCCCTGATGAGAAACCGAAGTTTGCTCAAACTTTCCCGGGATTTTCTTGGGGAAAAGAATATAATTTTGAAAAAGATGAAAAAGTATACCGAAACACGCATATTGTTGAATAAGATTTATTTTTTCATCTTTTTCATCTTTATCATAACAGCACGCGAGATGCGTTTTTCCAGTAATATAATTTTCCAGAGTTTCATACATAAATATCGATTTTAATTAATCTTACAGCCATTTATTTGGCGCACATTCAAAATTTTAATTAAAAAAATGTGACTGGTGTTAATGTTATCTGGTCAATGGAAGCTTCTACATTATTTCGATGATTTGAAGCTTTAAATGTGGCACTCAAGAAGTTAAAAACAAGACGACGGTTCCAACGTTAAGACGTTGGAGAGCGTTCACCGTAGCACCTCGTCAATATGCAAAAGTGGTTTTGCGCTTGCTGTGAATTCTACTCTCTCTGCATGGAAAGTGCTACCCCGAATGGCAGGGGTCACTATTGCGAATTTTCTTTAGCAACAACGATATCGATGGTGAAACTGCAGAAACACGTACCTCGGTTTGCAGCGTTGCAGACTTCCATAGAGTACATAAAGTCGTGATGTAAATGGGAGAGCTGGCGCCATGTTCTGGTCGACGAGTTCCGAGCTTAACTAGTGAGGCGTCCGCCCCGCTTTCAGAGACAGATCCAGGAATTTGGCAACACCGGATTGCTTCCATTTACACCTATGCAAAATAATCGATTCTTGAAGAATCGATACATTTCCATTGGTTTAAATGGAGAAAAGACTATATTGCCAATATGCTAAAACCGCCAATGCCCGATTTCATGTGTTACTGAAAACTCTGCGACTCCCGTATATTTCAAAGAACTACACAACAACTTCCACTTTCAGCGCTTGAACTTGGCATTGCACGTGTTTAATCAAGAATACTCTCTGCATGCAGGAACTAAATTATTTTAAAGGCCCTTCTGGCTGAAAAATTCCCTGAGGGATAGGAATCTCCCGTTGCTAGTATACGGCCTATCCTTTCGCCACATCTATAGTCGATCCGCCTCCCACAACGATATTGCAGCAAAGTTGCGTGACAACTTTAAAGAGTGAAAATGACTCTTGAGCAGACGACCATATCTACGTTTGATATACAGGGTGCTCCAAAAGTCCGGCACCACTAGTGCCGGGCATTATCCCCGAAACTTTCGTACAGATTGAGGTAGAGACTTGAAGTTTAATGAGTGCTCCTAAGCCAAAAGAATCGACTTTTGGGACCCCTGAAATTTTAAGCGGATCACCCTGAGAAGAGGCAAGACCTCTACGGGTTATAGGGATGTTGCAGGTCTTTTGGATCACCCTGTAGGTGCCTACACGATTCACTTCCCATGTTCGTGAGCAAAAGTCTACAATGCCCTGCTATTCACCGCGGGGTAGATAAATGGAGTGTGGGATGGGTGTAGTGTAACATTATTGCCTCTGCATCGGGTGTTGTGTATGTTGCCTATCTACTGATTGAAGGGGCTCCTCCAATTGAATTTCAAAGCGATGGAATCGGAATAAGTTGCAATTTTCTTTCAAATTGCCAACATTTTGTCTCGTCGTATGATCGTTTGACTGGCATTCATTAACGAGATTAGGTACATGGAAATTTTGCGGTTTTATGAAGAAAGAATGAGCTGTACTTTGCCGTCCAAAGTGAAAACGCTGTATCTCCATTCGACATTTTTCGATTTGTTTCTGACAAAATAATATTTTACAAGAAAACGAGCAAATATTCATACTTCATTTTTCGAGTCAATTTTGGCATACCGTTCGGAGCTCAAAATTCAAGAAAAATGAAACCTTGTCAGACTCGGATTATCTCGTATTAGAGCAGTATGTGTGGAAGAAAAATACAAAATTTGTAATGGAGTTCATTGGCGGATCCAGCGAATTGGCAACATTGTCGTTTCTCCATTTAAACTTACCTATGGAAATGTATCGATTCTTGGAGGACCAGGTGCTCCGAAAAGAATCGATTATTTAGCATAGGTTTAAATGGAGAAAATCTGGTGTTGCCAAATTGCTGCATCCGCCTCTGGAGTTACGGCGTTTTGGCTGTCGGCGGCAGTACTATTGAGATTGAAAAATTGTATTTTTTGCAAAAAACGCGCGATGTATCAAACATTTTTTAGTTTTTGTAGACTAAGGAACGCCTCCCCGTGGACGATCACATTTAGGGGGACTTTTCAAGGGCTAAGGTAGCATTTTTCGGTAAAAGAATTGAATCGGCACGTGCGAAACCCGCTAATGTCCATTTTTCCAGTCTCAAGTCTTTTGGAGTTCATAATACTTTCCGGGATTGGTTGCAACCACGTAAGTGGCGTTAAACCTCGTTTTTGGCTTTCCTAATCCCAAAACGAGTCCTTTCAACACTTTCATGATTGTATTAACTCTTCAAAAGTATTATGAACTCAAAAAAACTTAAGACTGGAAAAATGGACATTAGCGGTTTTCGAACGTCCCGATTTACTTGAGATGTTGCACGTGTGAGGAATTTGCGATTGACTATTGATTCTGATGTAAAAATTTGCAAGAAACACGATGGTGCCACTGGTTTTCTCTGAAATCAACTCCCAAGCTCAAAACACGCTCTCAAAGTTGAGGCTGTAATTGAGGGGATACCCCACGCTATCCCGGGAGTCCACCTCTACATCAAGGCAAACTCTCCATGCAAAGATAGGGAGCAAATATATATTGACAGGGCTGCCACTTTATTTGGGGACTCCAAAACTGAAAACACGGCAACCCTGATAATGTATTCGCTCCCTATCTTTGCATGGAGAGTTTGTCTTGATGCAGAGGTGGGCTCTCAGGATAGCGTGGGATATTCCCTCCACTACGCCCTCAACTTTGAGAGCTTTTTTTGAGCTTGGGAGTTGATTTCAGGGAAAGCCAGTGGCACTATCGTGTTTCTCGCAAACTTTTACATAAGAATCAATAGTCAAATCACAAATTCCTCACACATGAAACATCTCCATTGATCTGGCAACGAGGGAGATTCTATTATCGGTAAAGAAAACCGTGGCAATTTTCGTCGGCAACATGGCGATCCCCCCGCTAAGCTCCTCTCCTGTGGAGCGGATCCCGGAACGCAAGTGCCGGCGGGCTAAATACGGAATACGCTAGGTGAAAAGAAAACTTACCTATTTAAGATTCCGCGTTGCGCCATTCATCAAGCCGGCGAACGCGTCGCGTCGTGGTATGGTGCCGCGGGAACGTTAACACAAGAATTTAATTTGTCGAGGTATAAATCTCATCAAAAAATGTCTTAAACTAGTGTCAAGTTGCGACAAACTGCAACGTCACACATCCTTGCCAAATACCGCAGAATGATTCGGTTTCCGCCGGGGAAGCGAGGGTGAAAAGCGTGCGTTCGCGCTCAACTGGCGATGCGCCTGCATAAAGCGGTTCCGCAACCCGCACCACATTCCCTCGTCGTGACAGGTTTATGCGAGCCGCCCGCACGTGGCAAATCGTCGTGGAATTCTTACATTAGCTCCTCTGGGAAAGCTTCTTAATTTTTACCATTTGTCAACTATGAGACGTGGTGAATCTTTGAAACCGAAATCAGACTTTCCAGGCTTTTACAAGGAGCTCTGATCAGTAAAATCATGGTGCCCCTCAGGCTCAGGGGTCGATAATCTTTCAAGCTTTCCAAGAATTGTTGGATCGGAGTTGAGCACCTTCCAAGAAAAGTGATCACTTTTTTTTTCTTCAACTTTCACAATCCGCTGAATCACTATTTACCATTTAAGCTCTCCATCTAAGTTCCAATTCAATGGTTTTTTAGACGAAAGTCAGTACGACTTTGCGAAATGGGAGGGGGGAAATCATGATTTCGTGGAAATATAGTTGTCAAACATTTGAATTGTTTTAAAAGTTTTTAGACAACTCTTCAAATATTTTCCAAAATGACTAGTTTTTTTAAAACTGTTGATGCATTAATTTTTACTTAGAAGAAACACCCCGGAGCGATTTCTTTCTTTGCCAATTTTTAGGAAAAATCAAGGAGTTTTTAGGAACTCTTTTGACACTTATTACTACTAAGGCTCTAAAACGTTTTAAGTTTCTTGTTCCCTGATATATAATTAATTAAAATATATCCATTTCCTACATGGAAAACTACTGAACGTCATTTTTTAAAAATGCCAAACATTTTTCTCATCTTTATTTCATTGGTTTCTTTCAAATCTAATGCTGTATCATCGTTTCTAATCTCGCCAAACATGGTGCAGTCGCCGCGCCGGTGGGCGCGAAACGCATAATTTGAGCGCCTACGAGACTGCAGGAATACTTCACGCATTGCGCCAAACACAGTGCGGTCGCGGTCGCTGGTCGGCACGACACGCATATTAGCGCCTACAAGAAGGCTGGAATACTTCACGCATTGCGCGTTCACTACAGTGCCCTATAACCCTCGAAAATTCGTAATACCTAGGTGCCGGACCTACCGCGGTCCATACCATTTCCAACCGGTGAACACCCCGAGCCTGCAATTCTAGGATCGAGGGATTGTAGAGATTTGGTATCCCTGAATGGAATCTTAGACTATTGATTTTTAGTATAAGACATAATTTGTCTGATATTCCACAAACGGAAAATTAATATTACGGGTGACTTTGTTTCATCTAAAGCAATATAAACTGATCAAATGGTATTAGAATTATTATAATACTATTTATGCTTACAAGGCCAATACATAGAATCTTTATGTTTTATATTCCAACTCACCGACTTTTTAAAAATGCAGAGAAGTCTGCGGCAAAACAATAAAGACCAATCTTCCTATTGATTAACAAGACAACCAATGGATGACAAATTCACGGAGTTTCAAATAAATGTGGACGATAGCTTACCCTAAAATTCAAGGATATTTAAAGACTTAAAAATTATAGTATAACTAAAGAAGTATTGTTAAAAATCACGCCTGTTCGAAAAACTGATGATTTTTGACAATTCAACTCTGAATCGGTATGAGTCAAATGCCTCTGCCTCTCTTCAGACTTTATAGACGTCGCGATCCGTCGGCACTATTCATACTGCGGGCCACTTATTGAAATTGATAGACGAAGCTATAGAAAAAGAAGATACAGGGAGTATAGAGCGATCCTATTGGGTGAAATGGGTGGTTCCTATAGACTAGGGGAGAGAAAATGATGAACTAACTATAGGGTCTCTCCTGAGTTGCCTTTAGTTAGTCTATTACCTGCCTCCTTTGTCCATTGCAACCACCCGCTTCCATCAATAGGATCCCTCCAAATCCCTTTTGTCTTCTTTGTCTATAGCTTTGTCTGTCAATTTCAATAATCGGCCTACTGGGCTACTAATTAAGACAAGAGGAATAAATTGTCGTTTTGAGTTCAAAACTTGAATTTATTACAAAAATAGTCACAAGAAAATTCAGAGGAGACGAAAAACCTTAAAAATTCAGGCGACCCTTCATAAAAAATAAAAATTAAAACGCGAAACCGATATCAATTTAAGAAACTTATATTCTCATGAGAAAATCATCCTCAAAAATTTGAAATCATCCTCAAATTGAACATTAACTTTCTGCGATTATTAGAATAAGTGGCTTTTCTGCTGCAAGATGTATATCTGCCAGTAAATTAGAATAGAGATATACTGAACTGTTAACTCTGGAGGGATTCTGAATTTGAAGGGATTAAATTTTTCCCCCTTAAAACCGCAGACGCGGGGNGGGGGGGGGGGGGGGGGCAGCAGCAGCAAATTACGGCAGAGAAAGAAGAGACTACCTTTTTTTTCACATTCAATGACTGTAATTTAAGGGTGCACTGTGTGTAAGTATATGGGTTCTTAATTGCTTATGAGATCAAGAGAATAACTTAAAAAATGAAAGTGTATTCTTACATTTAGATCCCATTAGATATGTGACTTACTCACAGTAACAGAGGTAGGTTTGGCCAGAAGGCAGGTTGCTTTTGGTCAAAATGCCTATCAAATGTCATTTGAAGGGCCATTTCCATACTTAAAATTTTTGGTGCAGCATCACCATACAAAATGCTCATAGTTCTTTTGCGCTCTTCCATTGCCGATTCTTTAGGAGCTTTAAACATTTCAGCATCGACACTTTCTTCCAATTCAGCGTCTTTGAGTCGTTGCATTTCTTGCTTGTGCCTCATACTTTGTTCTAAGAAAGTGCGCATATTTTCATCTACATTAAACTCGAACCTATATTCATCTTCTGTTCTGCAAGTTTCAATTTCATCTTCCATACTAGCATCACTATTATTTACAAGACTAGATAAACTACTCATAAAATTTATATCCATTCCACAATCGAGAGTATTTTGGGAGGAAAAATGTTTCGTATGTTTTTTGTGCTTATTTGATTTGAGAAAAGGTTGCTGAAAGGGTTGAGTGAGAGATTGTTGAAAAATACTAACTGCAAAGTTAGCTTTTTCAACACTCATCATATGAGCCCTTTGCCACCTTTGAGCTAATTCGTAGTTGCTCCAGAACCAAGAGTTACTGCCAATACTACAAGAGACCGGAGGAAATCCCATTTTCTGGGGCACTGAGAAATTCTTGGATGAGCGCTTATTCCACTTTTTTTTAGAGCGCCGCTTTTTCTTTTGGCGAAACATAGAGACATTTTTAAGTGTTTTTACCTTAGAGAATGGTTTAATCGGGGAAAGCTTTTTGCTACAAGTAACATTTTTCTGGGAAGGACATTGCTCAGTGACAGAATCATTTTTTCTTGGCATAGTTACTTCTGAAAGAGAAAAAAATGAAGTTGAAAATCTTCCAATTCTGTGTATCTGGATCTGTAGAACAGAAATTGTCAAAATCAATTAGATTCCAAAAATAGCAAAGTATGAAAAACCACTAAAGTCTAACAATTGTGAATTGAGGGCACGAAATGAGATAAAGCGCAAAAAGATCGAACCATACAAAAATTCTGCTTGTATTTTGAAATGTCTGCCTTCCTTGCTTACTTAAGTCCAAAAAAACGCCTTGGTCCAAAATAACTCAAAAAAGAGTTGTCAATACTAGAGCATCAGATATATTCTAGGTGCAAACCGGTGGCGAGCCGTGAATGATCCATGATGGTAAAATTTCATGCATAAATCTCTCCGGGTAAAGTTTGGCAATTTTTTTTAAATTTGAGGTCACATGGCTATTGAACGTCAACGATATTACCTGCCAGACCAACAGATCTTCAAACATCAACAAAAAAGACTTTGAAAAAAATGGTTGCATTTTTTGATCTTTCCGGTTGAAATTTTTTTCGGGCGAGCTCTCGGTCTGTTATAACCCAGTCGATTGTGGCACCTTGAGCTAAGATTTGTGTTCCAAGGGTGTGCGTGTTGCATTTTTAAAATTGAAGGCACTTCCCCTTTTCTCATCTTTTGAGCCTGTCAAAAGAGTTTTCCCGATTGTGCTTCCGAGTTATGGATTATTTATGGCTTCTGGTGATCCATTTTAAATAGGAAAATAGGGATATTCTCAGAAAAATCAATAAAGGTGTTATCTCTCAACAAGTAGAGAACAACCTGACTAATAGAAAGGAAGAGATTCTGGTTTTACATACCTATGAGCCAAGGAGAGGTTGTTTTCAGATCTGTTCAGCTGGATCACTTCTGGTTTTACTGTGAAGAGATCAAAGTGGAAGTTTAAGCCCTTCGGTTATTACAGTAACTTACTATGCGGGGATTTTGTAACCATTGAAATGATTGAAACAGAGATGATAGTCCTGCAATAGAAGAGAAAGCGAATATATTGTATGTGATATACTTCAAACATATAGGACTGCCTCTGGAAGAATTGACCATGAGGCCAACTTTGGCACAAACAATAAACAATCCTTTTTCAACCAAACCAGAGTCATGATTGAAGAAATATTATAATCTGAAATTTGCAGCAAATAGAACATCCTGTGTATAACAACTGATTAAAGTAAATTTGTCCTAAGTTCTCAGCTTAGTTGAAATGATGTGTTATATACCGCATCGATTAAGTAAAAGGTCTTGGCAGATTTTTACTTTTCAGGCAACAGAAGGATGAAAGCCCCAAAGCATGAGTCTACAGGTTCATTCACTCCCAAAAAATCCCCAAGTTTGGGAAAATGAAAGCAAAATTAGGCTATGGAAAAAATGCTGTATTTGATTCAGCAGTTGAATACTACATCAAAAGCAACATTTAATCTGTAGTCAAATCCAGTTTTCATTTCTCTAAATTTTGCAAATTTTGTTAGGAATGGTTCCTTCTTCAGACTTGTGAGCAAAGGCTTTAATCCTTTATTTGACTGCAAAGTCAAAATCTACCTGTGCACCTTCTGCTAAAGTAAAACCAACTTGAATTGGTCACAATTTCTTCTGGATGCTCTGATCTAATCGTTCTTGGTAAAGATACCAAAATGGTAAGTAAGTGCGACAATCTCAATAAGTTGCAGCAAACCTACTTTCTACGATGCAAGGCTAGCTAGGCTAGATTCTTATGCAGATAAGTAGGAGGGTTTTATTCTATCAAGAGGATAAGTTTACTTACAACAATGTCATCTCAATCTTGGTTGCAAAACTTGGAGTACTTTATGTAGCTTTGAAGAACAGCGCTTTTCAAAACTAAAGAGAAGAAGTAGAATCCCATGCAGGATTTCCTGCTGTTGTGATGTGGGGTAACAGTTAAAATGCGACGGTAGATGAGATTACGAGAGTGCTTAGGTATACGAGAGTAATTTTGATGATGTATTTGAAGCAACACAAGATAGGACGATACCAATTGGACAAGAAATTGGCAAGAACCACAAACCACAAGGACTGAATTGTATGTTATTGTTATTGTGAGGTTAAGGATAATGATCTTGGACGTTGCCTAAGTCACAGCTAACTTCCAAAAAGCCTCCTGTGACAGCTTCTACAAAATTTAGATAACTTGTTTTAAAAATTGAAATTTCAACTAACAGTAATTTATGAATAGATCAATTTATTTGATATTTGAGATACTGTGATGAAATTGATGAAAATTAAAATAATTATACTTACTTAAGTGACGAGCGGGCAACCATGCTTGACCATGATTGTCTGATGGATGCCAGTGTTCCCAGGTGCTCCTATCTTAAAATGTCCGTACGCTCTCCGGATGAACTCGGGGAGGCTCGTGTATATCCGTGCCGCTCCGTGCTCCGTCCGTGTTCCGTGAATTCCGTTTCCGTTTCCGGTTCCGGCTCCGGCTGTTTTGTTGTTTTGTTGATGATGTTGATGTTCTCTTGATCTCTTGTGAGTACTTGTGACATTCAAGTACCTATGTCCTCTAGAAAGCATTGACAGGAAAAAATAATCGGAACAATTATAGGTGCCTACATCAAAAAGCAATAATTCAAAAGAAAGGAGCTGACTTTTCATGAAATTCATAATTCCTAACCCATTGAACTGATTGAATAACACATAAATTAATGCAGAAAGGTCCTGAATGATACCTGGGTTTTATTCGTGGCTTCCTTGTATCAATAACATTGGCGAAATTGAGAAAAAAAGTAAGAAAAAATGTCTGAGTGATCAAACACAAAAGCACAACAATACAGAAAACAAGGACGGACCTTAAATGAAAAGGCTGAATTTTGATAAGAATACAATATAATTAATGCGAAAAGTATCTAATTTGTTCCCGAACGATACCCGGCTTTCATACTAAACATAATTGTATCAATAACTTACGCAAAAGTAATAAATATTGCAAAGAAAAGCGGATTAACAGATGCACGGACTGGGCCGGGCGGGCGCACGGACATAAATGAAATGACTGAATTTTGATAAGAATACAATATAATTAATGCGAAAAGTATGTAATTTGTTCCCAAACGATACCCGGCTTTCATACTAAACATCATTGTATCAATAACTTACGCAAAAGTAATAAATATTGCAAAGAAAAGCGGATAAACAGACGCACGGACAGGGCCGGGCGAGCGTACGGACAAAATAAGATAGGGAAAAATTTTCCCATAAGGTTTTTGTCCGTACGCTGTCCGCGCGGGTATAGGGAATGTCCGCGCGGCGCGGAAATATCATAGGGAAATATCCGCACGCCTGGGAACACTGATGGATGCTGAAATGTGAGCAAACGGAATCTAACGCTCATCAAAGAGAGGTTATGTTTATTAGATCAGCTTTGTATGTAAATCAGCTTTGAATGCGGCAAGGAAAAGTCAGAAAAGGTCGCTTGACAGTGAAATAATTCCATATTTTAAAGGATTTTGATTTCAAACTTGTCAGTGGTAGCAGTACAAATCAGGTGAAATTTCATATCCTACCCCTGCCGAAGTCTCTTGACCTGTGAACATGGCTGACGAAGATTTTGAACCCGATGAGTAAGTCTCCACTTCTATTCTCCTACAATTACACCCCTTCTTTTATTAGATTTCAACACTAACTTGAAGAAAATTATTCATACTCTGCTCTGAAAGTACTAGCTTTAGTGCCATCGCTTTTCTCCAAAGCTGCTTGACATAGCCAGTGGCTGTAATGCTGAGCTTGCTCATGTGATAATTTAAAAAGACTCGCCTTAGATTGTCCCAAATGTATACACGCTTCCTTATTCAAATGAGCTATGTTGCATTCTCTATCATTAGTCTCCCCAAATGTATTTGATGCTTGGTTCATTGGCCCTGTTAGCCTGTTAAGGTGCCTAAAACTTGGATCTTCCCCGAAATGGATTGAATGAAGTTGACCACCAGTTCCACAACTACATGGTAGCTTAGGCGGATGAGTGTTTGAGCAGTCTCAACCCACTAATTGCTTGATCCACAATAAGCATGAGGTTAGATTTGATCATCCAAGCTGGCTTTCTAAGGGATGCAGAGACTCCTTGACCATGCGACCGACCGGCGGGCCACGTCGAAATGTGAAGAGGCACATGAAACAGGCTTTCCTATTGGGAAGGCTGGATGTGTGTTCAGCAATGTGTTTTTTCGCAGATTCTTGTGCAATCTATAAATTATATGAGGAAATAAAAAGGAAAAATTAAAAAAATAAATTCGGAAAAATTTGAGAGATAATTAGCGTTTCAGCATAGAGCTTAGCAGCAGGTAATATTAAAGTGTAAAAAAGAAAGAAGGAAAGTAAGCACTGGAAAAAATTTCTCTCGCCAAAACACAACTTAAATTGAACCTTACAGCATGCTCAACTCCTAATGACCTCCCTGGACTGAGATGATCTTGCTAGGTAAATCTTGTTTTTTGCTGACGGGCACTAAATTAAATAATTTGATTATTTAAGTATATCTTCGTATTTATTAAGACATGAAAATATCGTAGTGATTTCAGAAACATCCGTTTTCTTAAATCCTGCAAAGTGTATAATGTAAACTTATGTGAGTCTGATTTTTTTCTATCTTTCCTAGTAAATTTTTAGAGTTACCTACAGTCGCCTTGGTGTGGATTTACTAATCTATCACTATGTACTAATCGGTTCATTCTTTTATCTTACAGCATTGCAGACGAATTTGAAGAAGATGACCAGATGGAAGAGGATATTGCAGATAATGAGGTATCAGATCTGAAATCCATGTTTTTAAAATATCCCAAGGAAGCAGCAGGGGTCGATAATCTTCTTTTATTATCAGTGATCCGCGGCAGCGAATGCTTCCACAATTTATATGCTTTCCACCAAAAGTGATCGTCTTTTTTTTATTCCTTTCTTTTTATGGGCACTTAAACTTTGGAAGACTTCCATACCATAATTTTTAAAGAAGCGGCAACAACAGTTTAATCAGTTTCCAGACAGCTTTCAGAAAGTGTAGAAAAAGTGAAAGTAGAACTGTGAAAGGTTTCCTCGATTTTCAAATTTGAGGCAACAATCATGTTTTTTGCATTACCACAAAGCAAAAAAAAATCTAGGCTTTTCCAAAAAAATGGCAATCCTAGAATTGTGAGATCCAGGATATTATCGACCCCTGAGAATCAGCTTGATTAGTTCTTTAGTTTTTCTTATTTCTCAGTTCTTTCTCTTTAGTATGTCTACTCTCTCAATGTTACCTACGAGTGCTCTAGAGATTTTCTGTTTTTACGGAATCCAACACTAAGGCTATGATGTTAAATCAAAATATTTTCCCCTAATCTCAGAGGTTCTTTTTACCGAACTCTCTCTCTCTGGTTCATTGAATTGTCAGCTTTCCAGATGTAGATGCTGTTTGGTTAAATGCTCCCTAAATGGAGGTTAGTTTGCTTGTGCAAACCTTGGAGCCATTTTGACAATGTCCCTGAGCTTGGAAGCAAAAAGTGTGGAGGCTTAGTTGCACTAATAATAGGTAGATTTGAAATTGCCTTACTGATTGGCTGCAACTAATGTTACTCCAAACAGGGTAGCTCTAAATGGGAAAATGTATTCAAATTGAGTTTTCTCCTCTACAGTACGTATCTCTGTTTTTTCACAATCAAGCACCTTGCCATGACATCATGTTGAAACTATTGTTTCAAACCTTAGAAGTGCTATTTATCAAACTCTCGTTCATTGACAGATTATTTATTACACGCATGCTCAAAGTTTTCAATCATCCACTTCATTCATTGTTGTTTCAGGAGGAGGCAGAAAACATTGAAATTCTTCCTGCTGCAGAAGGCGGTAGTGTGAACAAAGCCAATCGAATCACAACACGGTATATGACAAAGTAAGTGAAGTAATTTTGCATTAGCGTCATCATTCCTCAGCAAGGAGGGTATTTTTAAGAGTTTCAATATTCTCTATCAGTACCTATCATAGGGTGCTAATCATTTGTCCTTCCAAATGAAGATAATAGCTTAAAAAAAAAAAAAAATGGAGTATGAGAGGAAGTGAGGAGTGTCAAAAGTTAGATTAAGTTTGTTGATGCTATCAAAGTAATGAATTCTAAAATCATAGTTTATGGATGTATAATTTAATGTGAAGATACTTTCGATGCATCAATGAAAGATGCAGATAGTTGATCCAAGGTGAATCTACATTGGGACTAAGCAAACATTAAAAGTTTCACTTCACTACCCACTTGTTTCACTTCAAATTTGTAGATAAAAATGGATTGATTATGCCTGGAGGCACATATTATCTGGCCATTCCTCTGAAATCTCCTTTGGAACCCTATCCTATATTTGAACTGAAAGGATACAAAGGCAATTTATGGCAAAATGTTGCATTCAATGTATCAAGTCAAATTGTGAATTTTGACTTTCGGGTGCTTTCAGCCCTATCATAGCTTCTCTGAAATATTTTTGTGGGAATGGTTAGCAAAAGCACGCTTCCAATTGTTATTGTTTTCTTCCACTATAAATGGAATACATTTTGCAATCTGGAACTATAAATTCTAGCCCGGTTAAAACACTATGTGCCATTAGTTTCCCTATGCACATGAGTGTTTTTCCCGAAGAGCCAGAATTTATAGTTCCAAATTGCAAAATACAGTCCCAATCAAAAGTGAAACCAGTATTTCAGCTAAACTTGATCAATTTTTTGATGTTTGCGTGCTTTCAGTATATATTCACCGCAATGCCTGCTGTCAACTAAAAACCTCCATATACTTCAATGGTTTAGACCCATTGAAAAAGGCTCTTCACCGTTGCCTTACTTTGTTTAGTTCGGAGAACTGAAGTCTATCGAGGCTAAAGGTTCTTTATGTTAATCATAGTTTACTCTTTACAGATTTTCTTCTTTGGTTTGTGTAGGTATGAACGAGCCAGAGTATTGGGAACGCGTGCTCTACAAATTGCTATGTGTGCTCCCGTTATGGTTGAACTTGAAGGGGAAACAGACCCCCTACAAATTGCAATGAAAGAGTTGAAACAGCGGAAAATCCCTATCATCATTCGGCGGTATTTACCAGATCACAGCTACGAGGACTGGAGCATTGATGAGCTGATCATCATAGACACATAATCTTTTCCCCGCTTTTCTTTTCAATTTTACCTGTTTTCATAAGTCACTCATTCCTGATTCTGTATGTCTTCTCTTGTATTTTTATGTTATTTTAGGATTCTGTAAATAATTTCTCAATGAAGTGATTTGCTTCCTCCAATCAAAGAGTTTTAATTTGTTTCATTGTTTCTCTCTTGCTCTCTCAGCAAGATTTACCCTAGCAGAATTTTTGTATGCTATCGTAATATCAATGGCTAAAGTTAAAAATGTGAATCTTTTAAGTGGCATCTCAAAATCTTCCATAATGTTTTATTTTTTTAATTTATTAGCCTAATATTTTTCGAAACTGTCCATGATTATTTTTAGATAAGAGAAGAAAATTCACAGATTGTTTCAAGGAAAATTATTGGCTAGTAGTGTTTGAAAAAATTTATATTTGAGCAGAAATTTACATCGTCATACCTAATGAGAAATAGGCATATTTCTACTTTAGCCAATGATCTGGTCTTATTGTAATTTCGCACTCTCATTGGCAAAATTTCGCTGTTAAACTGGAAGTCACTTAGATTCCAACTTGCATAATTTCACGGGGGCATTCTGCCGTGCGAAGGATAAACACTGTATGAATGTTTGAGAGTTGCCAAATTTTCTTCGATAAAATGTTTATTTTTGAGAAAAGTGATGTATGAAATTTTTCCTTGACATTTTCAGGAACTTCAGGTGAACAGAATTATGTAAAAATTAGAAGGAGAATATTCATAACGTTACCTACCAGGAAATTCGTGTTTTATCTAAGGAAATTTGACGATGTCTGAAGGTTCATATGGCATTTTCCCCTAGCACGACAACACTGTGAACCCTGCTTCACTGCCACAATAAGGAGGTCATTTTGAACAAACAAATTTAGGAAAAATACTAATTTAGAAAACTTGCCATCAGTGATCCCTCCTGTCAGTACGATGTAGTCTTTTAGCCCATGTTTCCTCCTACTTTCAATATCAAGTTTAGAGGAGTCTGAGAATGAGCATTACCAATAAGAAAAATTAAAAGAGAGAATGTAATTCTTTTTTATCAAAAGTTGGCAACTTTACTGAATAGGTGAACCTGCCAAACTCGATTAGGAGAGGAAATACCTGTCACAAACATTTAATTATTCACCCCTAAATAATATAATGAGGTTGGTGCCTTAACGCTATAATAAATTATTTAAGTGTGACTCATGAAAACTCAACTGTTGATTGATTGAAGCTGTATATGGTTCTGTCAGTACTAATTAATGTCACTTAAATGTGTACAACCCTTAGTCAACCTACTTAGTCAGTTCCCCAGATAGGCAGCCTATCTCTCTCGCTCTCACTTTACTTCTATGTAAAGTTATCTGTTCTTAGTAACATCCCATATTAGAAATCTTTAAGCATTTTACATAATTTTTTCTTGGTTGCATAGGTACCTAACACTGTTTGGAAAGTTTACTTAGGTTCCAGGCCATGAAAATTTGAAGCTGACTTCCCAAGATCCCAAGGAAGGAGGGGGGGGGGGGCTGAGGGGTGCCTGAGAAACATGTACTTAACAAGGGGAGGAGGGGGGTCAAATAATTTTTTCTTTTTAAAGAAAAAAAACGCCCTACACCTGTGAAGTTTGAAAATTGCAGAAGTTGAAGATATAGAAGTAAATTTCATTTTCTTCTGTTCATCGAGTCAGCTGTACATTGTACTTCAAGTAATTTGTTCAATCGCTTTTCTGCAGGATGTTTCAGAGGGGATCTAGAAGGGCCTGACAGGTGCATCGTACAAAAGAGGGGGGATGGGGCATAAAAAAATCAGAAAGCTATATTTCATCATCTTTGAGCGGCCGCCAGGCCCCATTGGTATAATATATTCACATTATCTAACTTTCGCATCTTCAAACCAAACCCGTTTTTTCAAAACAACCGCATAAATTTTAAAATTCCCGGCACGCAAGCAGATTTGCTAACACCAAAAAATACAAAAAAGTTTTGTGAATGACCTCCGACCTCATTCTTTAAAGAGTGCTCGACGTGAGAAACCATTTCAGAGTGACTTAAATCATTTCAAATAAAGACGAGTAATCTAGATACCTAATACATTCACCGATTTGATGGCTATTTGTTTTCTCAAAGTTCCTGTTACGGTCCGCGAAGTATGAAGTCATGTTGGTATATCTGATAACAGAAAGGCGGGAACGCCAGCTCTGAAGACCTTGGGATTTGGAAAGTTGTAAACATTCGCACCAAGTATTGAAAGGTTTCAAAGAGATCCACATACGGAAATTGCTTTATTTTAAATTTTCTCATTACCGTCATATTTTTTTCGTGGTCAATCCTACACTATGGAAGAATCTTACCGTCCATCAGCAAGAGAGGATACGTCCTTCCAGGCCAATGACATACCTGAATCTCCTAGCCAGCAACTTCATGAACAACTTGGCCATGGTTTTCAAGATAAGGTATAAAGTCTTCTTTCCCAGCAACAATTACTTTTCAGTGGTAGAGATTGTCGCTATAGCCTTCAATATCAAAAGCTTAATGTACAAGGCCGTGCTTTGTACGACGAAAGTCCTATGGATGAACTGACTTTGGTATCAGCTTGGTGTTGTACTCTTTACAGACATGATCAGTTTGTTCAATTTCTCTCTAGTCTTACAGAGATTGAAGATTGTGTTACTTTGGCCTCAATGTGGCAAATTCCACCTCTAAAAGTAGCAGTCACGCCAAAAATAAGTAGGAAACTTCAAGAGTGAGGCTGAGGATCCACCATCACGACCATCATGGGTGGTTTCACGATAACTGGAATAGTTTTATTGCTGTAACAGAACACATTTTTCGGTTATACTTTTAGTAGAAATGGACGAATTTATGCAAAATGGAACTATGTGGAAGTGGAAAGGTGTGGTGTGCTTGTTAGTAGAATAAGAATGAAGGGAAATTTTAAAGCGCCAGTGATGTCAGCGGCAACGACCGGGGCCCTGTCCATTATGCACTGATCACACGCTCACAGCTCACGTGTTAGTGCTCGGTTCCTTTTGATTTAATTGCAAATCCCGCTTTTCCATTTTCTCAAAAGGAACTATATCCACTTTTACATTGTTTCTTAAACAACTCACCATGAGCACACCCCATCTTTCCACTTGCATGTAGTTACTTTTAGCATAAATACATCCAAATAATAATCACTCGAATTTTTTTGCATTAATCTTCAAAGGGTTACATATTAGAATGCTCTCTAATGATTTATTGCTCTACTTCTTGATTAATATTATGTAATTTATATACCTAAATTGAAAACTAGAGCGATAAATCTTTGAAAAGCGACATAAGACATAACCCTGTGTAGATTAATTAAAAAAAATTCGAGTGATTATCATTACAACTAAAAATATGACCGAAAAATGTGTTGTCTGTTACGGCGAAAAAACTATTCCAGTTATCAAGGAAACCAACCTCATATTCATTTTTAATGCTAAAATGAAGATGGCAGGTCCCCTGTCTCACTCCAAAACTTGTAAGTTCTCACTTGCACATGGCATGGACTCACCTTGTTTTGAAGAAAAAAATGTGTTAGCTGTATAAACTTGCAACATATGATGGGATACACAGCATGTCGATGGTGAAACTACCAGATCATGTATCACATTTGTGGTGTTTCAAAATCTCCGCTCCTATTTTATTTTTGTGAGGGAGAACTAAAAAAATACAATTTCTCAAAATTTTCACAGAGTTTTCTTCGTGCGGAGCAGAGAAAACAAAGAAATTTTCAAGACTTAACTTTGAGTGGTCTACCATATAAAAAACAAAGTATGACAGGAAATCTACAGTGCCGTAAACCGAGATACTTCGACGATGTAAGTCGCCAATCACATAACTCGGTTTGTGACGTCGCAGACTTCCTGTCATACTTTATTTTTTAAAAGGAAAACTACTCAAAGGCAATTCTTTAAAACTGCCGTGATTTTTCTTCTCTGTACGAAGAAAATTCTGCAAAAACTTCAAGGACTGATGTCGATTTGTTCTCCTTTAAAAAAAATAACATAGAGGCGGAGATTTTCAGACACCGCAAACGAGTTATGTGATTGCCGACTTACACCGTCGACTTGGTCTAGGACTTTCACCGTTGATGTGTACCTTGCCTAATAAAATAAAATATCTTTTACACAGATTCAGTCACTCAATGTATTAAAAGTTGAATTAGGTATTAGTTGATAGATATGGCTCATCATTATACCTGGAGCATCATCTTGAAGCATTGTTGAATCCAAGTGCGTAAAGGAAACGTGGAGAAAGGAGGGTTCAGCATGTTTTGGTCTTCACTGTCATCCTGGAACGTTTTCAAAATATGCCAGCACTCTGGTTTGAGAATATAAGATCTATTGATGACCTGCTTTCAAAAGTTTTGAAGGTAATTTAGAGGATGCCTCTTTTTTATATATCATATTACGTTTATTTTTACAGAGAATCACATTAAATAACCTGGCTGCAGAAATTGAAGCTCTCGAGAGGAAATTGCAGGAGAGACAACAATATCATGCTGCCATCGCTGCCGAAAACGACCGATTACTTCATAGTAAGTGATGCTTAGTTTTTATACATTTTTTCACGTTATCTATTGATCACCAGAGTTAAAGCACCTACTAATTACAGACAGGAACATCCAAGGCCAAGAAGTTTCAAAGTTTCACTGATTTGGGGTTTTCTAGTGTAGTACCTACCTAAATTGTTTATGTAATGTCATCAAAGTAGCAATACAGAAACCTTACTTTTTAGCTTATCCTTAACAGGGTCCTTTTGCCTATGAAAGGACACATGGATTGCATTTTTCGAAAAGAAATCAAGAGGATTCCAATGTTGCCGGGATTGTGCAACTTACAATCTTTGCAAAAAATTCCTGAAATCATGCAAAAACTTAAATTTACAAAGGTAATTTTCTTGAATTGATGGCTTATCAGACGTAAAGATAAAACTTGTTTAGATGATCAGTTGATATTTGCAAGATAAGAGAAGTTGTGCAATCTTAGCAACATTAGAATGCTCTTAGTTCCTTTTTACAAAATGCAATTCATATATCATTACATTGGCAATAAATTAAAGTAGAAACAAGTTTACAGAATTACATGGTGAGACTCTTACAATCTTACTCATAATCTTTCTTATACCATCTCCTAAAATTAATGCAATTGAGCAAAGTCATTGAAGTGTTTATTCCTCTTCTTTTTTTTCGCTGCTTCAGAGTACCTACTTACTGTTTTGTGGATGATTTTGGGTTTTACTACGAGATAGTCAAGACATTTCTTGGAGCCCCAAACCAAAGACTGGTATCAACTGGAAGAGTTGGGTTTAAGTGAACTCAGCCAGACCACATCAGATGTTGCTCAATTTTCTCTCATGTTTTTTTGCCACATTTTGACCTCTTCAAATTCTGTATTTATATTCTACAAAATCTAAGGGATCACAAAAAGGTTCAAGGCAACATACTGTGGATTTCTGCTGAAGACGAAACATGAGAAGAAATTAGCCAACATGAATTGCAGTTGGGATGATTCTGGTTGAATCTGTTTTTTCAGTGTTTCTTTCGCTCTCATTATTGCTGAGAAGGGTGGTTTCACTGCACCACAAAAAATACAAAACCTAAAAAGAACAGAAATTCATCCTAAAAATGATGACTTCACTACATGACTGATCCAATATTTGGTAAATATTCTTTCATGAACCTTGCAGGTGTTTTAGAGGCAAAAAAAGCATCAATCGAAGAATACAAGAAAGAAGAAACAGAGATAGCAGAGGAGGTTGCCGCCCTTAGGAAGCATACAAAAAGTTTGATGGCCACAATCAAGTGTGAAAAAGCAGTCTCGCTCTCTAATCTGTGAGTCCCATTATATTTTTATTTTAAAATCCACCTAGTTATATCTGAATAATTAATTTTAAGCAGAGGTGCAGAAATTTCTCGATCATGCATTCATGATTGCAAGGCTGCTCTTGTGAAAAAATGGGAGGACCAGCTCGCATTGTGGCGTGATAGATCCGTCACCCTCATGATACTTCAGAAATAGCACTGATAGCAGTGCTCCTAGCAACATCATTTTGTACCCGAAGTATCGTGATTGACTTTCTTGAATGAAGATGAGAGGCAAGGATACAGAGATGATATAAAAGAGACGACCGATCAATACTAGAGAAAACTTCATGAGCTCAAAGTCTTCCCTTCAGCTCAAGTCCTCTCGTTGCATGGTCTTCGGTGCTGGCCAGTCAACCCATGGCTCTAGCCAAAATTGGTTTTTGTGACCTACTTTTGAAGCGTCATGTCAACGCTTTTGTTCGAACTGAAATTCTCATTTTTTTCTTTTACATTTAGAAATTGGGATGGTCACCGCACTAGCTTTATAATCTTGTGTATCTTGAAAAATGTTGGCGAATTGCATTTGTTTTTCATTAAAGTGCGGGAATTTGTGGTTATAGGGCAAAACATATTCATAGCTGTAACTCTTAAAAATAAATTACGTTACATTGCAGGTCAATGTACGAGGATACAGTTGGAGCTATGTGTAATCTCTTCCTGGACAAGCGCATGTCCTATGTAAGTAGATTTTGATGGTCGAAAAGCAAAACCGTGCATCTTCAAATCCCTGTTCCTATTTCATTTTTCCGAAGAGAAACAAGCCAACTTTAAAGCTTAAAAATATAGAATATTCTGGAAGCATAGAATGTATAGAAGATAAATCAAGGAAGTTTTTAAAAAATTAAGTAGACTAGTTTTCCAAAGAAAAAGTAAAATAAGACAGGAAGTCGCAACGTTGCGTAAGGAGGTACATGGTTTTGCACTTTTGCCATTGACTTATTGTCTCTCTTAACTCAGTAAAGGAGGTGCATCTGCATCATTCTTGCTTTTATTATTTTGGCATCAGCAACTGGTGTATGGCATCAAACTCTTTTATCCTTTTCCTAAGTTCAATTCTGCTAAGTAATACACTCAATTTATTCAGAAAGAAACGGCATTATATTTTCATTTCTATTCCAAAGAAAAAAACTTCCTTATTGCAATATCATATGTCTTACTTTCAGCATTAAATTGGTGAATTCGATTTTAAAGAGCAAAAAAAAAGAGGGAGAATGCTATTGAACAGTTCCTCAGAAACACTAGGAATTATAGTAAAAGTCGTATAAATTTCCACTTAGACTTTAAAGGATTGTTGGAAAAAATAAGTGCAGAATATTTCAGCTAACTCATATTACTTCTCCTCATAATTGCCAAAAACTTAGAGGACAAGATTACAATATCAAAGGAGTTTGGTCTCAAAATGGCAATGAACTGGCAAAAGATCAAGTAGCTGATTTCCGGAGTAAAAACAGATTGAGACCCTTCTGAGAGCATGTCTGAATTATTATGATTGTATGAAGGAAAACAATGTGGGCTAGCTGAAGTATCTTGAACAAATTTTTTTTAGATTAACCTAAAAAATCTACCGAACCAAAAACACATCATATGTTTAACTTCTTCGAGACTACTCAGTATCAGTGATTGAAAATACACTAGTGTCATTACGAAAATATTAAATTTTTTTCTCTGCAATTGGCTCAATTTTTAAACCTGGCTCAGAGTATAGGAATATATTGCTGTGCAAAAATATTTTTTACAGCAGCTGAAGAAAAAATGGGTTTCTTTTCACACAATTCTCATTTGTATCTTTTAACATTTTTATTCTTAAAAAATTTCCAATTGAGCTGTTTTGAAACTACCTGTTTTGTTCCATAAAGTTACTGTAAGAATTTTTTTTGCTTTTATTTGCATCAACTTTAAAAGAGTGATAACTAAACAGATTTAACAAAAATCATCCTCACTTTATCTAACGTTGCTTAATTTTTCCTTGTATTCAATTTCCTTGATCTAAACTCCTAATGCCTTTAAACTCTCTGTGGATTCATCCTAGATTACATTCACAAAAATTCAAGTTTCAATGTTGCACACAGTATTCTGTTGAAAAAATAAATTGGCTATCAGAGAAAATTAGGCAACATCCGATGTAGTTAGGCTGATTCTTGTCAAAATGAAAAAATGAGAAAATATGCTGCATTAAAATACTAGGAAATTTGCAAATCGCCCTGCGCTGCATGTCATCACATCAAAAATCATGACAAGTAATTGCTGCATTCATGTGAATCAACCAAAATAAACCTCAGTTCACTTTGAAGTAATCGTATTATTTTCATCCAGCATCAAAAACATGATGATTTCTATGTCACAGGAACTACACGAGGTAGAAGTGGCAACCCAAGATTTAGAACAGTTGAAAATTGACAATCATGGAAGTATTGGCGTCATCCATGAAACGATGCAAGAAACAATGACAAAAAAGGAGGCTGTACACAAGGCTTATTTGGAGATGGAAGATGCTATTTTCAAACCATCCCAGCGACTAATGTACGTATTACAAGTTTTCATATCCAAATGTCTTGCTGTTTCATATTGATGCCTAAAGTGTGAAACAACGTACATCTATTCGCAACGTTGCAGACTCCATCATACTTTATTTTTTCTTTAGAAAACCAGTCATTTTAATTTCTTGAGAACTTCCTTGATTTTTCTCATCTCATAGCAAAATATTCCGCAGAAATTTCAAGCTGTATATTATTTTTCGAGGAAAAACAACCCACCTTTATAGCTTGAAATTTATGCAGAATATTCTGCTAATGAAGAGGAAAATCTAGATAGTTTTCAAGAAATTACGTGGACTAGTTTCCCAAAGAAAAAATGAAGTATGACAGGAAGTCTGTAACAGCACAAATGAAGATACATGGTTTCACTTTTTGGTCACCGATATGGGGCAGGAAACACTGAGGAATCCACTTAGTGCTTCCATGGTGTTCCTCTAAACGTTTTATTAGTTGAATATCGAATGCATTCTGAAGTTATGTCTATTTCTCTTTGTATGAAATCATTTCATATTTTTTTGTAGTGTTGAGGGGAGGGGGAATAGTGAAAACGTGAACAGGCCTATTTTTTACTCTCCTCCTTTGAGTTATGAGTCTTTCTGTGGGTTATTTTCTTATTTGTACACTGCAGACCTCCTATTATTTGTTTCACTAATTATTTAATACTGAAACTGCTGAGCAAATTTCTTCCAATTCATTTGCACACATATCTCCTCTTTCATTTATTAAAATGTAGCAGAGAATGGCCTATCAAAGTCCCCAAAAAACCCATCCCCACTTTAAATGTAAAAATATGGTGCCAATGTACACAAAGTAGTGACATCATATGAGGCGTTGACTGTCATCATTGTTCATGTTTTAGAATATTTTGCCATTTTCTGTTTTTGCAATTTTACTGTCATCATCAATTGTTTTTATTCATGACTAAGAATGCCGAAAAGATGAAGTGTGGAAAACAAGCTGCACAAGAACTGCGAAATCTTCATAACAGCTCTGCATTATGACTTGTAAGTCAGTGACTGCCTCATATAATTTCATTAAATCTCTCGGCATGGTATTTTTCCACTGAAAATGGAGTTGGATTTTCTGCAACTGTAAAATTAATTTTCTCAGTTAAATGATTGAATAAATATTGAGAAACGTATTTCCTAAATCCTTTGGATGTATTTATGCTGAAAAATACTGCACATGTGGAAATGAATAAAATCCAAAGTGACTATGATAGACACACATTTTTTACACGTAGTTCTCGCTGATTTAATTCAATCTCACATAGTTCCTTTTAGCATGAACAAGTCTATTGTTAAAAATGAAATAAAAAAGATAACATTTTGTGCTACAGTCCTTTGAAATTTTCTATGAAATTCTTCTAACAATTTTGATTCCACAGGGATGAGTATGTGCAACAGACTAATTGTAAATACCTTGAAAATCAGAAACTCAGTGAAAAAATTGAAAACATTGAATGCTACCTGAGAGATCAAGAACCCCTCTGATCGAATTCCCACGAGACTCAAAAATTGCACTTCTGTAAAATTCTTAACGAATCATATCTACTTGTTTTATTGCTATAGTTGTCAAATTTCCCACAAAATCAGTTTTCTCCTCTATCAAAAATTATTCAGTTCCAGCTTAATTAATGGCTTCTTTAATTTCATTCACTTCAAAGAGAAACAGAGGACAGCTACTGCAATTTTTAATCAAGATTTGTTGAAGTTGTATTTTAAAGAAATCTCCTCTAGATTAATTTTATCCGAACTTTTATAAATTTTAAGCGTTATAACTAAAATGAAAAATTTAACCTTTGACTTAAATGACCTTTTATCCCAAATAAACAATTCCTTTTGAATTGGTTTCTTCCCTCCTTTATCCTATGAGTTTTCTGATCCTCCATTGATTGTTCATTAGATCCTTTTAGAGTGTAGGTTGTAAATTTAAAATTACCAGCATTAGGTCGTTTGTATTTTTCAAAACTGAAAAATGAAAATTCAGAAGTTGGAGAAATCAACGTCAAATTCTGCTTCCGAAAGTCTGGGAAATGCTATTATTTAGCAAGGAATCATTTCACAAAGGACAGGGTAAATCAAGTTTTTAGCAGGCAATTTATATGGCCTCGATGAGCCTAAAGTTATTAAAATAAGTACAAGAACCTAAAGGAGATTAAGGCATTGTCTTTTCTTCATGTTTAATTACTATTTCATGACTTTCTTTAAGAAACTTGGACAGATTTGAGAGTAAGGGGTTTTATTTTTAAAGAACTAGTATCTACAGTAAGGGAAATTTTTAACAATAAAACAGTATAATTTACAACAAGAAAAAAAAAAAGATCTTACACTCTACTTTGTTGGAGTTGGGTTCTCTCATTTTTATTTTGAGTTTGCAGCTTGCTCAATTTTAGCCATAACTTGCTCAGCAGGTAAATTTGCTAGTGACGTGTGAGTTTCTTTGCCAAATTCTGGAACATAAACCATTGAATTTCTTAAAAAATATTAGAAATGAGACGCACATTTTGGCCCTACAGAATGTGTAATGAAACTGGCAGACAATTATGATGCTCCAAAGTATGCAATTTAAGAATGGCAGTTTCAAGTAAATACGGTTCAAAGTTTTGATCTACCTTAATTTGAGCTTAAAATTATCAGTTTCAAATTTGACTGTACTCTTCTTTTTGGCATTTAAATTACGAAAATCACTCTTGACTCATTCTCTGGAATGTTGAGGGCCATCCCTGAATTATTTAACTCATTATTTCAGCATTTTTGACCCCCCTCCCTTTACCCCCTTGTAACACTTCAGTGACCTAGGTCCCTAAACAGAACAAAATTGCGTAACGCTCTCCTTGACTCCTCATCCCCCCTAGAGTGTTACATAATTTGGGGACAGCCCCTTTTCTGTCGGAAACTCAGATCCTTATTTTTTGACTGGATTTGACAATAATTGTTCTTTAAAAATTTACCTTTATGCACTAAGATCCCTTTTCTTGTGAATAGTCCCCTTTGCATAAAATATTCCCCTGTATTTCAAGTATACTCACCATATCTGGCGTATAGTCGAGGCTCAACTCCACTTGCTTCTCGGACAAGAATAGGGAAAAGTGGATTGGCGGATTTCAATGAGACATAGTGATTCTGAATGAAGTCCCTACAACATATTTGTCATGATGATTAATCACTGAAACGGAGCATACATTAATAAAAAGCATTAGTACTTGCTCAGCCTGAGATTCTTGTTTTGGAGGCTTAAAAATTGGGTGGGTGTTGCTTTTCTTTCGTTGGTGAAGTTTCGTGGTAAACAAGATAGGCTTTGAGACACGGCGAGCTTTATCATACTGCACCCTAAAATGACACGCAGTATCGTGCACAATGTAAGTCCGTCCTTTCAAGGTCTAAAATGTCAAAGAGCAAATAACGTCATATTATACATCATAGCAGGACTGCATATAATTGAAATTCCTTCAAAAACATAAAAACCTACCACTCGATTTCTACAGGGCTGTTCTTGGTGATTTTTGCATTAATTGTTAGTATAGATATCTACTTGAGCACCAATCTAAAAATCCGAGATTGCTAAAGCAAGGAAAATTTTATGGCTTAAAAGAGAGATTTTTCTGTTTCTATACGGAAGAATAAGAGGAAAGAAAGATTTTGTTGTGACTTTCACCAAATTAGACGTCAAAAGAAGAGCTGAAAAACTTGCCCAATGTCAACTTTACAAAGTCACAAAAAAAAATGCTGTTGATCCGAACTTGTCACTAAATAAATGAATGAAGTGAAAGAAAGAACCAAGATAGTGCTATCGATTGACCTGAAGCGCGAATTCTCAAAATGAAAGAAAAGAAAAGAGGATAATTGGGTGGATGAAAGAGAGGAAGGAACTTTGACAAATACTTCTTAAGATTTCTGCATTGATAGATTGCAAAATTCTATAAAAAACCTCAAAATTCGGACAAAGGTTACTATGGAGTACATATCCAAACTGATCTCTTTGAATGTACAACAAAACAACTGTCGTTGTTTTTGCTATCATTTGGTTGCAATTTGAGTTGCACTGCATTATATGCTGCTGCTCTCAACTTTGAATTGAGAATATCGGAGAATTGGTTGTTTCCGTTAAGAATAATGAATATGACAGAAAGAATATTGAAATTTTAGTTACCTTACTCCTTTACTAGTTTCCCCAGTTTGGCATAAATGAAGCCTTAGTTCCTTTAGATGAGATCCAAATTTAATCGCACGAGCTGCCATTGGTCTTTATTTTTTCACTCAAATTTCAGACGTTTTTCTTAATTTCCAAATTTAATCCTCAAGATAAACTTTCAATTCAAAAGGTTTTCAAGAAAGAAATGATAATATGATAAGAATGTAAGGAACATAACCTTGTTCGCCACAGAGATGATAAATAGGAGCACCACTAAGCAATACTGTTGCCATGGTATGATTGGTTTGCTTTATTCTGTAAGGTTTGGAACCAATGAGATTACGATTTGGTCCCGGCGCAAGTGCTGCTTTCCGCAACACGTCGTTCAAAATGGCCACTTTTTAAATTAAATGTTAGCAAATTCTCCTCCTCTAATGATTTCGCCGTGAGCTTGTAATGTGGTTACCAACGTTCGTCTTTTTCCTCGTGCGTTCTTGATATCGTCAAACTCGCAAAACATTTTTAATTTTTAAATTTCATGGCCTTTTGCGCCTTGGTATTCCAGTGCCTTTAATTTTTTAAATGTTTCCATCTACTTTTGCTCTTTAAAATACTTATTGCCAGTTTTGAAACATGGATGAACAATCGTCGCAGTACATTCATGTCCTCTGATTTTTCAGTAAAAACTAGGATTTATCGAGTGCGTACCTTGCCCATTGTGAATCGGATGTGAAAAAATTTTGTCGAGTGTAGAGTGTAGACGTAATTTCCCCCATTCCCCCTGTGCTGTTCATTCATCAAAATTGAGCCCAAAATTTGAGAATGGAGTCAATTGACCGGATTGTTTAGTGAAGTGATCAGAGATAACCTCCAAATTTACTACTGATTGTTCGAAGGTCAGCTTTTTTACGGATTTCTCGTGGCGAGTTTAAAAATGGTGTACCATGGCTTACGTGAATGTTGCAGAATGGAAACCAGACCAAGTGACTGATTGGTTAAAAGGTAATTATTAATCTTCTCTCTTACTATCCGCATCCCTACAATCTGCACTCTCATCTACTTCACAGTAGCGAAGTCTGGAAGGCTCCGATCCGATGCACATTAGATGCCAAACTGAAAGTCTTTGGAGGCATAACCATTTTTTTCTTTTATATTTATGAACGAACAATCTATCTCTATTTGACGAATCCTCATTTATTGATAAGATTTGGCTTAATGGTTGGTATGTCTGACCTGATCTGAGCCTTCTCTCCAACTGTCAAAAGGTATGATTGCTATTCTTTTTGAGATAACCATCCAGCAAGTTATCTGTGGCACCGCACCCCACACATTGTCACTCATTTGAGGGGACGAGAAACAAAGGCAGAATCATGTGGAGCAGACAAGCACAGCTTTGTTTTCTATATTGTGTAGTTCGGCAATCCACGAAGGAAGTGTTTGGCAGAATCTATGAGAAAGCGTTTTTTTTAAAGCCCAACAGCACAGCTGATGCTCAACTGATTTCTTCAACCGATTTGCAATGCAGGTACAGTAATTCTCTGTGACACTCCGGGTGGATTTTGGACCTACGGCCCATAGCCGAAGGTGTCCGTCAATTCTCTGCCACATGAAACACTGATTCATAACCTAACCTAACTCCACAGTAATATCAACCAGATGATTAGGAAGGAATACTTAGTTGCTCTGGCAATCTAGTCCGTTGTGTAGATATTTCACCTCTTTCATAAAGGTAGATCATGCGCATCACATATTGAGACAAACGGCAATCTCTAATTAGCTCTGAGCTTGCACCACTCAACAGGTTAATACATGCAGTCAGATGGCCCCACTGATGACTGGTGGTATAAACAATACGTTGACGCCTGTCTCAACATACGATGCGTAAGCTCTAACCTCAATGTTCCCCGAAAAAGTCTGAACAGATTTATTCTGACAGTCGCAATGGTGGCTCTAATGCTCCAGAACAGCAACTAGTATTAGCTCTGTTACTTGTAGGTGTTCTACATGTAATTCTGAGTTGAGGTTAGCATTTTAGGGGAAAATTTGAACCTCTAGAGGACAAGGTTGCATTTACGGTTCCTCTAAAACAACCTTGTCAGGTACTTACCATTCATTATGGCCCAATCTGAGGCTATAGTTTTCTCAAACAGTAGTTGGTGGATCTTTATCAGTAGTTCCACAGACTTGTCTTTCAAATCTTCCAACATTTAATTGTCATTTTTTATTTTTTTTCTGTAGGATTAGACGACGTACTTCTGCCATATCTACATTCATTTTTGAAGAATGAAATCAATGGTCAATACCTTCTCAATATCCAACATGATGAGCTTGAAAAGTTGGGTATCTTCAAATTAGGACACCAGGAGATTATTTTGGAAGCTGTTGAGCAGCTTCGCAATTTTGTAAGTCCTATCATCTATGTAAGTAGAGGTTCAGAAATGTTTGACCACGCAACCGGCAGGTCGCGCAGTCGGCTCCATGCAAAAATAGGAAAAGTATGGATAATAGGGGAAGCCGGCAAAGATTAGTTAAAGAATTGTATCTTTTCTGCAAAATTGAGAGGAAAATCAGTGGTTGTTTACTTGATGTACCTAAGTAGTTTCCACCTGTAAATTTTTCATGTATAACAATTTTCGAAAGAAAAAACAAAACTCTTTGTTATTCTGGGTATTTTAAGTAAAGATGAAGATGCATGATTTTTACAATACTGGAATTGTTTTGGTTCCCCCCTGTTCAATGCAATTCAATTGCAACTGTAGCGTAGGAAAGAAAATGTTGGTATTTATTCTCAAAAGAAAATTTTAGCCCAAGTCTAATTTAAATTTTATCGGTATTAATTTCCTTTTTCTATTTTTCAGCACTATGATTTAGATCGAGAAAACTTACAGTTACTAGCTTTACGCCTTTCGTGTGCAGCTCATAGCCTCCACAATGAACTCAATCGAACACAGCCAAACTCCACGCTACTCTCAACTCAAACTCTTGCAGATGTCGCCAACATTGTTACTACAATCAAGCCACTGGTGTGTTGGCTTGACAGGTACGGTTCCTAAATATCAATATATCATCTAAGAACTATCTAAAGGAATTATATTTTAATTTAAAAAATGACTATGAATTCTTCATTGAATCATGCAGTTTAAATCACTTTTGTTGTTAACTTTATCGGCCATACTTGATCGAACTTTGAAATTTTTGTAAAACTTTTTCTTACCGATTTTTCTTTTTTTTTCTTTCGATTTTTAGAAAAATCGATAAGAAAAAGTTTTACAAAAATTTCAAAGTTTGATGCAGTTTTAAAACAGGCCACCCCATTTCTTATCGAAACAGTCTTTTTGACCAATCCCACATAACTCATATTATTGTTAGATCCTTCTCATTTCCTCGGAACAAATGAATTCAGAGTCTAGAATCACTTGTACATATGTTGGGGGAAGGTGATAAGAATAGTTGAGCTTGATAGAAAAGAGGTATAGAAGAAAAAAATAGCATATTTAGCGCAATGCAATACTGTATGTTCAAAGTAACAGATTAAATAAGTTCAGTTTCCAAGCACGCTTAGAACTAACAATCCTCAAAATTTTGCAGACCACCATTCAGCGGTCAGGTAGCATATATCAACCGAAAATCAGAATTACTCAAACTGAGTCTAGAAATGGCAACCAGTGGGCAGCGGGATCGATTTGCTGACAATCTGACAGAAAATATTCGCTCCAGCTGTCAGAAACTGGCAGTTATCGCCGATCAGATCATTCAAGATATCCATGATCCTCTAATCCTCCAGCCTGCATCTTTAGATCTCGTCACTGTCAAGAAACGACCCGGAGATCATTTGGTGAGTTCTTTCAATGGTGGTATCTCGAAAATTCTGCAGTCAATTGGACTGGCAGGGTGGCGAAAAGTAGTTCGTTTTGTTTTTTGTCTAAGTAGATGGATTTTTAGGAGTTTTTTAAAGAACAACCAGGACCCTTGGAAATGGCATTGTAGGGGTCCAATGATTTCATATGAGGAAACTTCAGTCCACACTCTGATCAAAATCTAGAGGGCACACTATGTTACCTCCCTTTATTACTTATTGTTTATTAGAGCGTTTTTTAAGTAAATCCATTTTTTCAAACCTTGAGCATCTATTTTTACAATAATTAGGATTTACTAATCATCTCTTGTTCAAAAGATGGTTCCCCCTCTATTTCCACTGAACAGTTCGGTATTAAACATCTGTAAGGAGTGTAGTAAAGAATTACAAGGAAAAAGGAGGCCCCCATAAGCATGATCATTGTGTATAAAATTGACCAGATATTTTTTATCTTTCTCTGCTTCTGGTGGTTCTTTTTTCTTCAATTCTTCGCAATACACCTGATGGACGTTCAGGATCCCTTTTTATCCTTTCATTGGAAGTAGAGCAACAACCATGTCATGAACAATGCTCACATATTAATTTTCTTTATAAAGGCAGCATTGAGTAACAAAACTTGGTAGAAAAGAAGTTATAAGGACTTAAAAAAATCTACACTTTTGACTTTGAGAATCAAACTCACATGTTAAACGATGAAAGGCAAGTTCAACCTTGTGCTGCAGTCCACTCAGCCAGTATGTTGTCACAGCTGATTACTACTAAAGTTCGTGTTCGAGCAGTAGCCATTTGCTCATTAAAAATTCACCAAGCCTCTACTAAGGCTCAGTAATGGGAATAGTTGTACCCAATGTTTTGGTTCACAAATTACCACATTTTTCAAAATTATCATCAAAACTGGAGGTGGACATGAGGGCTCCTCTCAGTGTCTGTCGATCTAACGATACCAAAATGCAAAATAATCATTCAAAGTCTTCATCGAGCGAATTCTCCATTGCAATCTGCTCCTCCATCTCTGTTTACTTCTCAAGAGCTCAAAGAAGATAGGACAAAAAAAAACTGATAAGAAGAAGGAAACACAAAGAGGATAAAAACGAAAGCAGAGTGGACTGTTATCACTTCCTGTTTCCTCATAATTTCCTCTGTTTTTTTCTAGATTACCAGACATCTGGTCTTTGTGTTCATTCCCTCACATCTGCTTCCATTGTTTTCTTTTTTTTTCTCTTACATTTCTACATTGAATGTGTCAGTAAGTTTCCCAATAATATTTTTTGCAACTCCTCATATTTTTTCCTATGAAAAGTATACTCCGCCAGTTTTTTTTCATTTTTTATATTTTAGTCGTTGATAAAAGAGAGAAAGGAGGAATAAATTTATTTTTATTTGTAGCCAACTGCTTTTTTGGCTTTCCCTGTTTTGTCACATTAGTTTTTGCTTCTTTTTTTAATTTTTTTTTTTTTTTAATGAACTCATTCTCAGCTTGAATCTGACCTTAAAAGTTGCAGGCTCATCAGAATTGCACACTTTAAGCCTTATATTCAAACACCCCCCCCCCCCNAATAATGACCCGCTCTTGAAATATCATAGTGCCTAATACTATACCAGCACTTTCAGCTCTGTATGTAACTTTGTCACCTCCGATATCACTCCCGGTTTTTGGTTTCTTTGTAGTGTTAAAACCGTTGAAATCAGTGCTTTTCCAATGGGTTGGGCACGTTTTTAAGTGTCATGTATGTCTCAGAAAGACCATGATGCAGATGTGCAACATCGCATGTTAAATCTGCAAATGGCTCTATTTCCGTTCCTCGTATTTGGATTAGTTTTTATTTTTCACAACTCTGTGTCAGGCGTTTTAAATGTAACTTACAATTGGTCGTACCTACAAACAATGAATAAATAATAATTACTGCTAAGGAATGTGCCTTTTGGTCCTTGAAGCCATCCTCATGTGTTCATCGTACTTTTTCTTTCTTAATTCAGAAGAAATAATTGTGTGTTCCCTTTTTCAGGGTTTTTATATTGTACCATCATTTCATGGAATCCATCAAATCGGAGAGTTGAAGTGCAACAGTGCTGCTCATCAGTGTGGTAAAATAGAATGCGGCGATGAAATTGTCCAAATCAACTATCAGACTGTGGTAAGTATTTTACATTCTGATACTAAAATGAATCATCCACATTCTTTTTGTTACTTTTCCAGCACATCATCTTCTAAAGCATAATAGCTAATACTTTAATGCCAAATTTTCAGAAAATATTTTTAATGACTGGAAAAAGGAGTTTGTAATATCGCGAAGTGAGGTCCATCTAATTTCACAATCGCCTCTTTTTCTCAAGGTGAAAATTAAGTACGTAGGCTATGCGGCAATTTTATTGATCATATTTTTCTCAATTAGAACTGCAGGTCAACTATTTTGTCGAAAAAAAAAAGTATTTCAATTAGGAATTAAATTATCAAGAGCAAGAAAAAATTGCAGCTCTTCAATGAGTCTTCATACTTTCCTAAGAAATTAAATTAATCAGTATATTCTAAAGATCATCCTCGCTATTATGATGTGAAAATTCCCTGAAAATAGTCTTCTTAATCTTTGAAATTTCAAAAAACTTGGAGGCGCTGCTCTCTACCTAGTTACAAAACAGTTCGTTCTTTAAGATAGTTTTTCCCTTCAAGTTTTATAGTTTTCCTCAGATTGCTGAGTGTCAGCCAAGACCACCTTATCAAAATTGATAAAGCATTTTTGCTGTGCCAACCCAGAATTTTTTTATTTTTTTTTTACGAGTTTTGATTGTTTCAGGTGGGCTGGCAGGTGAAGCAGGTTATGGTTTTATTCGAAGAATCCTCTTCCGATGTGTTTTTAACATTGAAGAAGCGGCCACGTCACACCAAAGTTTTCGGACAGATCTATATGAAGCCCTACCGGTTACCAAGCAAAAAGCACTCTGTTTCCTACACATCAAGATGGCATGATAGTCTACCTTCTCCACGTCCTGAACTTTTATCTATCCCTCACTTTACGTTACCACTTCCAACGTAAGATTTTTGCATCATAGAAAATTTCTTCCGATAGTTTTGAATGATGAATTTTTGAGGTGATGTTGAATTGCCTACTTTCATGGAGGTCAATAATCGAATCATTAAATTTTTGTGAACCTCAAATCAGTAAAATCAAAATTGATTCCCTGCTTTCGCTTCAAAAAATTTGCCTGAATATAAAAATGGACAGGTAGTTTTTTGGTAAAAGGAAGTAAAAAACAGCAAAAAATTTTTGGTGTAGGTAAACTCTAACCGGCTGCAGATTTTAGCGAGCTCTTAAATTTTCCGTTACATAAATCTGGCTCAATCGGGCCTAAGGATTATCTTCTTATCTTACCTGAAAATGGCCAATATTTGATTTAATCATTAAAAAGGGTCCATATATTCTGAAACTTTGCTTCTTGGTGCTTGTGTTCTTCTCCCCAAGGAAACGTATTTAAGCAAAAAATTTGAAAACAGTGAGCTCATCTAGAAATGATCACCGTCTGATAGATTATAAATCACCAGCAGGGCATGAATCTCTGGCTATCGATATTATCCCATTTGAAGCTTTTGTAAGGAATCAATTATCAAAGTGTTTTTTGCGTTGATCCATCCTTTTACATATGTTTAGATGACAGATCAATCATTAATTACAAAACACAACCTACCATTGCTATGAATCATCAAAATCAGTCTGGACTGATTACCATCGTAACCATGATGAGTAGCACAGAATATTTAGGAGTCTGAAACTCACAGTAATAATAATCGCCCTTGACTTAGTTATTTCCAATGTTTTTCCATGTTTCTTTACAGAATGATGAAACTGAGTCATAACTATTACCAGTATGTAAAAATTAATGATGTAATTAACTTGGTCAACAGGTATAACGAAACGGAGCAAACACTCTCTGATGAAGGCAAAGACGAATCAACAAGTAGCAGTGATGAGGACATCGGCCATGCATCACCAACAAGCATGCGACTCTATCTGCCCAAACCGCGAGTACCAGCGCAACGCAGAGCCACCATCACTGGAGCAAGTCCTATTAGTAAACGCCCTCCAGTCAATTTAGATGAGGTGAAGAAATTTCAATGGCTCGGTGATTTCTCACCATACAATATAGTTAGAGCACCATTTTACCGGACGTTTTAAGTGAAAGGTGGTTTGGAAAAATAATCAAAACCCATTTTTGGCTATTTTGAGTTATAAGTGTCACAACAGAGCCCCTCTCACATGGACCGAAAGGATAACAAACTACTGTAAGCACTAGTATGTGTGTTTTCAAGAGCCTACAGCTTGTTTTCCCTTCAGCACATGCTTAGAAAGGCTCTTTATGAAAGTAGTGAGGCTATTAACTCGAATTTGCCAGAAGAGGATTTTGTTCATTTTCATCGACCATCACATCAATAGTCAAGGTCATTAGAAATGTTATTACACATTCTTAAGTACATAAGTATTAAGTTAAGTTACATAAGTATTTCTGAACCAAGGAATTATGATGGAGTTCACTTTTATTTTCTTTTTTTTACTCTGATGAATTTTAAGAGAAAAATTTCAACTTGAATCCAGATATGAGTAATGGGTCAGTTGCACTGGTCACAGAATCATTTTTTGATGCTTGGCTCTTGTACATTAGCTGAAAATAATAAGATCTGTCCAAACCGTAACTTTCTACGATCAATATTAACTAAGATATCGCCCTTTGAAAAGTCAGGTTTTTGGTGTCATGCACCGTAGCAATGACACCCTTGGTTTCTTCCTCTTTTGTTTGATCAGTGATGCAGAGGGTGCAACGCAAAACTTCAACAACGTTAAATGTAAACAAACTCAAAAAACAGACGGATTCGCACTTGAAAGATCTTCTTATCAGGAGATAATGCACTCGCCGCGAAGAGATTAGGCGGTCAGTCAATTTACCTCGTTTCTTCATGTTTAATGTCGTTGAAGTTTCGTGTTGCGCCCTCTGCATCACTGATCGAGCAATAAAGAAAGAAACCAAGGGTATCACTGCTGTGGTGGATGACGTCAAAACCTGACTTTTCAAAGGGCAATATTCAGATAATATTGAACGCAGAAAGTTGCGGTTTGGACAGATCTTCTTATTTTCAGCTAATCTTCAAGAACCAAGGATCAAAACACGATTCTGTTACTAGCACAACTAACCCACTTTGTAAATTTGATCAGAAAAACTTCTTGCAGTATTAAGCACCTCTGCCGTAACGACATATACCTTTACCATCTTTCCTCTTCAGACCTTCCTGTTAACTTTCTTAGATGCGAGTTTTGAAGAGTTTGAGTCTTTAAAGAATTTGACTGAAAAAACTTAAAAATGTTATCACATCTGAATGCGTCCTAATATTAGGTATAGACCTGTGATATGGTTTTTTTAGTTCTTATAAAATATTTCTCAACTTCTCAGAGAATCCGAAATATGTACAAGCCCCTCTATTTTTTGATAAAGGTATACTTTCTTTCTATTTTGTGTGCAATGCATCTTTTTTTAGGAAGTGAAGATCCTTATCTCTAAATTGTTTCATTGACAACAGTAAGAACAAGAGTTCCAAGTTTTTCCAAATAGATAAAGTAGAAAGATTGTCGTATTATTTGGTTTATTCTCTCTGAAATTTTAGAGTGCTCAGTGTTCTGTCTGTTTTGTATTGTTCCAGCTTTGGCATGAATTAAAATTTGTTCGTCAGTGGCGGAGCACAAGTGAAGAAAACAAAAAGTTCAACTCTGAAACCCTTCTACGTTGTTCAATGGATTCGTCACTCCCAAATCGTCATCCAGATGTTCCGCCGAAGTGTAGTAGCGCTCAGTGCCTCACATCATCGGGCAATTACGACAGTCACTATGAAAAGGAGAACAAATTCATCGAAAATACAAGTCCACTGGAGCGTGAGAGAGCATCCTCGAACAGTCGCTTGCCCGAAGATTGCAAGTTTGCCTCACTAAAAGAACGCATTGAGATGTTCTCTAAAGCTGATAGTAACAATCCTAAACCTAAAATCCCACCTAAAACTTTTAAACTTAATCAAATCAACAAATTCAACAATGTAGAGAATACAAACTCTTCAATCAGTAAAGTTAAACAACGCGGCAAGTTGGACAAAAGCTACAGTACCCCTGCATACGATCTGAACGCAATCGATGCTGGAATAGATTTAAACAGCAAATCTGAAAAAGAATTCCATCCGCCAACAGCCAAATTAGAAAAAGTAGATAGCTCAACACCAACGGTCAAAGTAGACAACAGACACCCAGTGCCGGCAGCCAGGACAATAAAATTAGAGAATTTGAATCTGGCTGGAGAAAGGCAAGCAAAAGTCGACAATATTAATACTAGCAAGGTAAAAAAGTTTGAAAAAATTGACAATCGGAGTGACAATGAGACAAAGGTAGAAAATGTTTGTCCAGCAACGACAACAAATGATAAAGTTGACAATATCAATGTATTGACTATCCAAGGAATTGAAAAAGTAGTTAACTGCAATGAGTCAAAAAATCTTACTGAAGATTCCGTCTCAAATATTAATAGGCTCAACTCATCCATATCAAAAGACATGCCCACCTCAAATATCAATATAATGGACCCTTTTAATCTTCTTAATAGTTTTCAGTCAGACACTTCCAATAATTTAGAGCGGATAAAACCTCCAAAAGCTCCGCCAAGAACAGAACTTTCCAATAACACAACGAACATTAACATACAAAGTGCCACTGAGCTGTTAGATAACGAATCGCAGCTACTTAATTCAGTAAATATTAGTAGCAAGTGCAATACTAGTGATAAAAATGAGGAAAATAATATCCTGAACAACAATTTTAATAATAATGTGAACTTCAACGCCCCCAGCAATATCCAAAGCAATAATGAGAACCACAGCAATAATGTAAGTCAGTTTGTAGAAATGGAATCGGCAAAATCGGAGCATGGACAGATGGTGAACACAATAAATAATCACTTGTTGAAACAAGACGAAGAGAAAAGCAGAAATACCCTGCATACAGCCTCAGATGATATAGATATGGATAGAACAAAAAAAATCAACGAGATTCTTGAAACAATCAGTAGTTCGCTAACTCAGCATGAACATTCATCAGTTGTGAAGGAACCAGTAGTTGCGCCTAGCCCATCAGAGAGGTATTTAACGAAGCCTAAAGTTGAAGATCTGTATTACTACTGTTCCACGTTACGAGATCCAGCTAAGCAACCCAATTACCTGTCGAATGAAGACTTGGTGCCCTTGTCAACAATCCTTAATAATCCACAACGAACCGAACGGGTGGATTGTTCGTCTCCCAGTCGTTCTAATTCGCCTTATGAAAGATTAGTAATCAATCAAAGGAGTAGTGAACATAACGCAAGGAGTCTTCTCGATTTGGATAGTGAGTGTTACGCCAAAAGCTCATTAGAACGCTCGCCGCAGCACTCTCCTGAGATCAGAACGGCAACTCCAACCTCGGTAAGATCTAGTAGTAGTCAAGGCAAGAGTTCAGTAGAAGACAATGCTGAGGTTTATGTTAGGCATACTCTGCGGAACTCCCCGGAAATCAGAGGAGGTAGATTGGAGATCAGTCAAGGTTACGGGGGTTTGCGGGGTTGTTATGACAAGCCTCTTCTTGAGCTGGAAACTGATATTTACGGCAAGAACTCGCTGGAACGGAGAGCCCACAACTCTCCAGAAATAAGGATCACTACGCCAACGTCTGTCAAATCGGACTTTGTTGACTTTGACAATGTGTCTCTTACAAGTGTAGCTTCTTCACCGGCTCCTGCAACGTTCCCGCGCCACCGAACAGACAAGAAGCCGTTGACACCTCCTCCTAGGCCAGCCAAACCGGTGGCAGAGACAAAAGGTGGCTGCTATCGTGCCATGATGGTCGCCAAATCGATGGGAAAAAGCGCTTCGCTGAAAGTAACAGCTAGTCCAAGACTCCTCCGGAAAAAGAATCCTCTCCTGAACAGTTAGTATTTTTTACCACCTCTCTAACTCTATTTCCATTCTTAAGTTTCATTTGTAACTCTTCAATCACTTATTAAATATACATTTTAGAGTACATATGCATAATTATTTTAAACGATAGGCTGTAATATTTTGAACTGTGTGTGACCATCTGCAGAAAAAGAAATTTTAATGTTGTAAAGCTGAAAATTGTGTTAGTGGTACCACGACCTGAATAATATTTTTGAACATTTTAGTGTCAAAAACATAAGAAAAAACTATTCAGAATCGGAATTACTAGAGCTCAGAGTTCATAGCTCAATAAAGTCATTTTGAAGGGAAAAAAGTTAAGTTTCCTCTCATTAAATTTACAAAATGGCTTCAGTGTTTCATTACCTCTGAATTCACAATTTTACTAAAATCCTTATTTTTGTGTTTGCTATGTTTATTCAGAGCGGAGGAATATCAGTGTCAAAGAGCTAGGTCAATGCGAGTGTCAGGGTTGGTTATCTCAAAGAGCCCGTGGCGGTGCTGGCGCTCAGTGGAATAAAGGATGGTTTGTGCTGAAAGGGACTTCATTCCTCGGATTCAACTCAAATGATGTAAGTGATTTTGATTCTTTTTCCTTGAATATGTCAACATTTGCTAGGTATTTTTTCTTTTTTTAAGGGTAGTGCCTCCATTTCCTTGAAAAGAGATTTTTTTTGGAGCATTATGCTTATTCAGTTATTCATGAAACAAGCCCATTAATCTTAAAATTATCTTCAAGTATTTTGTAATTTCTTTTTGACAACTTTTTTTAATCCCCTTCCCATCTGTAAGGTACCTGAAAGACAACCTCTCACTCTTTTCTTAGGTGTTAAGTAAGACAGGCCTGATCTCCCATCCCCTACAAATTTCTCAGAAAATAGAGGAAATTAGAAGAAACCAATAAAATAGCTGGAAATAAAATAATTTTTTATAGAGTGGGAGTCCTACGTAAGATTGGACTCAAACCCTTTCTTCTTATGCGATCCACTTAGGCAAGCAAAACCTTCCTCCTCCCTCCCAAAGTAACGTATATAACATTTGAACGGTTCCAAGTTTCTGGAAAAATGAATCTGTTTTGTAATTTGTTTTTGACTTTCTGTACCCCTCTGCATTCCGTTTTTGCAAAATTAGCGATTGAAGTTTACACTTATTTGTTTCTCCTCAGTCCCACAAAGCACGCATTATGATATTTCTTCCTGGTTTCACCGCATCCGTTGCAGAGGAAGTCAAGTCCCGCAAATTTGCGTTTAAAGTTTACCATGCTGGCACAACATTCTACTTTGCTGCAGACTCAAGTACAGATCTAGCCGTATGGCTGGATGCAATCACAGCGTCCACCATAGCAAATGATATCCACACTGAGAGTAAGTTTCTTCATCGATTCGTGATTCTGCTGTAGAGTTAGTAAGCATCATTTGTCTGAGTTTTTGGACGGGCTCATTACTTTAAAATTAGTCAAAATTGAATTGTGAATCATTTTCAAAAGCTCTAGCCAATTAAAGTATTTTCATTATCATACCTCATGCATCTTCAGATAATCTGCACTAAGATTATTGTCTGCTGCAGAAAAAGCCCACTCATAGTAGCACCTCATATGCTGCAAAAATTTCTACAAATAATCTGCACCAAGATTTTTAACTATAAAACAAAAGAAGATTTTTCACCACGCAAAATCGGAAAAAAAGTTTTTGTTTATCTGTAGGCGTTTATGGTATGTCATCTGCTAACTTCAGAAACTATTCATTTCGAATACTAATAGTATTAATCAAATTACTAATTATGATTTAAAATTTTAACCCAATGTATTGTGAGCACTAAAAAGCTTTACTATGAAAATCTGAAAACCAGTATCGTTACTTCAATGGGAATTTTTCTGTATCATAAAAAAAATTGGATTACCTCCTTAAGTCTCATTTTGTCTGACTTCATATCTTGTCCTCATATTAAATAGCAATCTAAGTGGCAAATTATCAAACCTATTCTATTAACTCCCTATTATCATATTCGTTTCTTCCAATCTAAGAAGTTTCGAGGTTTAATTCAAGATTTTACCTCTTTGGTGATTTTACATCATGAAAATTTTTTTGACTGATGTACTTCTTGGTTCTGTCTCAGCTGTGATTTATAGTGAAACAGATGGTGAAGAGGAAGAATCACAGTCAGAGCAAGAATCGTGCTTTCCGAGTCCTAAAATGAAGAAATTCTCCGGCTTGTTTTCAAGTGACACCCCCGGGAAAAGGTAAGCCATTCCTGAGTATTTATTGGCGTATACTGTTGAAATATCTGAAAAGTATGGGCATTTTTTTGAAATGACTGGAAATTTGAAAATGATTGAAACTTTAAATCTGGAAAAACGTCAGTGCTGTCCACACAGTCAAATCGAGTCCCGAACTTGTCGGGGTTTACTGCTCCAACTCTCATTCTTAATAGTGGATAGAAGATCAATTTGAATAATTTTCAAATAGGAATTGCAATTTTTGCCAATTGAATGATTACTACCTGAAGAAAAGGTTCACATGCTTAATTGCAGTGTATATAATGAAAAAAAATTTTTAATTTTCAGTTCTATGCGTGCAAATTGATCGTGAAAAATTAGGGGGCATTGATGATTTTGGTCAGGAAAAAGCTGGGACTTTTAGGAAATTATTTTCCCCCTCATTCCGTAGACGCCCTAATTTAGAATTGTTTCCAAAAATTTATTTTCTCTCATCATCTCTCCATCCTGTGACCATTTTTTTATTGTAATTTTTGCAGCCTGCATCCACATATTGCTAAAAAATTTGCTAAAAGAATGAGGAATTTTTATTTTTGCTACAAACTTAGGAGGAAAATCTATCCTTTCCTTCAATAAATTCTAAATGAAAGAGAGAGGAAATTCAATCATGATTCTTGACTTCTATGAGAAGTCCGTCTCTGAAGGTATCAGAAAATGAAATAATTCAAGAATTCAAGACACTAATGTTTAAGTACTATAATTATTCACTGGAGTTGCATATTAAATTCCTCTCCTCCAAGAAACTGTTTGCTTCCCAGACTGGATCTGAGAAATTCTTTAAAAGAGGAGCAAAGAGATTAAACCCACCCCGATTCGCACACTTTGCATTAATATTATCCCTTTCTTGTATAGGCCTTGACATTCTGTAATTTTGTTGCAGCTCTGAATTCCAGAAAAAGTTTGGCTCGCTGAAAAAATTGGGATCTCGCAATAAAGCGGCACAGGCAGAAGAAGGGCCAAGCAGCGAAAGTCTTGACCGCAAATACTTGAAATTCCTCGGTCCAAACAACGTACCAACGCCAACAGCGCAATTTCGCTCCTATCGGCGAGTTCCACCCTCACCACCCGCCTCGACCAGTCAACGGCGGAAAGACAAAAGCCACCATTGTAGTGCAGAGAGTGTACTTGCACATCCAGACAAAAGGTACAACCCCTGTTTCTTTTCTTTAATCCTGGAGAAGTTGTCAGTTCAGCTATAAAAAATGAAATTTCTCGAAGGCTTTCGAAGGCTTGGGGAAAACCAGGAAATTTTACGAAATTTTAACTAGTCAATGAAGACCTTGGAATGTGAGGGAAAATGCTAAAAGTGTCAGGGAAAAATTTTTAGGTCACCTTTATTTGCTCCCTAGAATGGGCTTGACGTTTCGATCAACAAATTTTGCCTAAAAACTATTTCAAGGTTATATCTTTTTAACCATCTGGCACGAATTCAATTGACAGGAAATTTCACCAAAATTTGTCAGGGTATTTCATTTTCTAACTTGATGTGGTAACCTTGTAATCGTATTTGATTATTTATGTGCCACATCTTTTCTCTGCATCTTGTAAGCAGCATCTGCGAGAAATTTGTTGCAATGGACCACTGGATAGGAGGGTAACAATTGAAGCATCAAAACATCTAAACTTACCTTTAAAATATTCCTGAGTCAGATTCTAATGTCTTTTGTTTGTATCAAAACATTGCCTGACACAGTGTTGTGGGTACTTTTTCCTTGGCGCTGCAGAACACCCCCCCACCCCATTCAAAAAAAAATCTGAATACGAAAGTTCAGTAGTACATTCTTTTGCTAAGGCTGTGCCAATCGTGAACTGTAAGATTACACCCGGCTCTAATGATGGCTGATCTTGCAGGAGCGTCCAATGCAAGCAACTGCATCCTAATTAAAAGAACCAGTGCAGCGTGGCGCTCAAGGAAGGCCTCAATGCCGGTTGATGCGATCAGCAGGGCAGGCAACAAGTCCATATGAGTCAGTCTCTTGTGAGAAAGAACTACAGACAACCTCTGTCAAATCAACAATTGAACAGAAAATTATCCTGTTCTAAATAATTAGAATGGAATTCCATGAAAAACTTCCCGCCTTCTTTGATTCACATTACTTGATAACTTGTCAACAGTAAGTCCTCAATCTGAGAAAATTACCTCACAATGGAGTACATTCAAAACTGTTCAGTGCTCGAATTGACATTAGTATTTTAAGTTTGTGGTTTTGGCAAGCGGGAAGTTCATTGTGACTTCTTTCAATGTGCCCCTTTTGTTTTGGACAAAATTTTGTTATTGAGGATATTTTATACAAATGATTTTTGATGTAATATATGTATAAATGTTTATTTGAATAGTACGAAATCTTGATGTTTTCATATTTTTTTATTTCAGCCTAAGCGAAAGGTGTAGTTCTCCAGTAAACATGAATTTGCCACCAGATATGGGTGACTATCGGCTGGCATCCTTGGCTCGAGCAACAAGGGACACGCAACAGAGGTCAGAACTTTCTGCGAATTGTCATATTCTTTCATGTAAAGTGGCTTCACTTATGGTTGCATTGTTAAATTGTATGTGTAGCTTTTCACAAAGTCGATTATAGGAAATGGAAGTGTTTCCTATAAATAGCTGAAATTTGTACGATGCATTTACAACTCTTATGCTTTTGTATCTCAAAACTCTGCAAGCGCTGTTTTAGTGTCCTGTTCTAAAAATTTGACAAAATTCCTAGTTTTAGTCGTAATTATTTTGGCTGTGTGGAGGATGAATCTTAAAGGTACGAGTCCACACTTAATAAGTTTACACACTTCTACACTGCAACAGAAGATCTTCTGATGTCATTTTAGCATGAAAAGTTAATGCAAGAATCAAGACGGCGGATCTGCTGTCACAATCTAAAAGTGCGTAAACTTATTTGGCGTGGACTCTAACTATGCCTGAATAGCATCTAAGTCTGCAAATATTCGGACAAATAGTAATAATACTATTTAAAGAGCTGTAAAACCCGGCTCCGTGTCCTAACTTTAAATTTTTTTTTTCAGAATAAAAAAAATGCTACCCATCTCTTTTATTCATCAAAGAGAAAACTAAGGGGACTTTAAATTTTCCAAGTCTCATAATCAGACTTTCTAGCCATTTTCAAAGTGGATATAAAAACCCAAATTAGGCCCAAGAATTGTGTTCCAAGACCTCAATGTTTTTGATTTCCTCATTTTTGAGCAGGCGCATTGATCATGAAAACAACACAGGATTTGTTACGCTTGAAGCATTTATGCTAGCGCGACAAGAGGAAGAACGACGCCAGCAACAAGAATTTTCAAGGCCAGCAACCTCATCGACACTGCTACCTTTGCCGCCACAAATTGCCCCCAGAACTGCAGGTAACTTTTTTTTTGTGGTTTCATGACTCGATACAGGAATAGTCTTTCAGAATATTTCAAGTTTATACTAAATATGATGAATTTGGAGCTTTGATATGAGCAGGGGTTTCCTCCAAAATCTATAAAAATATCTTAGAAATTAACAAATCACCGTTTTCAGGCTATATGCACAATATTCAGTTAATCCTAGTATTCCATTTTACAAAGTCCTACAACTTCAAAGCTCACTCATTTGTATTCAGTCTTTAATCCAATAATCAATTGATTCTACTTCAGATGAATCAAATCGTTCATTCAAATCAAGTTCAATTGGTTTCTGCTAAAAGTGTAATCATTTAAGTCACAATCATTGGAAATAAAATAATCACAATAGATACCTATGTATTTTTGAACTTGTTTATTTGTAGGAATTTTATCTGTTCTATAACATTGTAAAAATCAGTAAAAGCGTAAAAAACCTAATCTTGAGTTACGGATGGAATAAGTTCTCGAATCCATAAAATAAGATGTGAGCCCATTTTTTCATTACAGCCAATGAATAAAGAAATTTTTAAAAACATCAAATTGCACTTTAATCCAACAATTCTGAACTCGGAAAATGGCTTGTTTAAAATTAAAGTTGCTTTTTGTCAAAGCTAACAAAGTTTCAATGGCAAACTCGGAACAATCATAACTCTGATGGGGTTTTGAAATTTTTGGGCATCTTTCACACATAAATGTCTGTGAGACTTAATATCCCAATTTTCAGTTCCTCTCTGGACAACATTTTGCAATAAAAAACTACCATTTCTGGCTCATTTCAATTACAGCATATTTGTCAACAAATTCCCTGTGTAGATTGGTGCAAAATTTAGTGCAACTAAGGTCTCTTTTCGACTTGAAATACTTTGAGTTCACTCTTCATCTTTTCCAGATTTAGACAACTTTTCAGAGGACAGGTATCGTTGCAACAGGAATGCACAGTCATCGTCTGCAAGGCCAAGATACACTCCACAACCTACGAGAGAATACAGGGGTGGCTCCCCAGAAAAGTTCTGGATTGATTCCCTGAGACGCTCGGATTCTCGCCCCCAAGCTAGTGCTCACTCAACCAACACTGTTCCTGATCTCCGCACTAAACGGTTGAAAAAAGCAGCTAATTATCAACCTCCTCCAGTTTCACCACTCGATAATGCTTCCCCAGGTGTGTTTTTGGTTCGCCACCATTTCTAGTCACTTAAATAAATGCCATCTAACCCTTTATTGCACAATGATGCCATATGGCAACATTTGGTTTTTTATTTTTCTAAAATCAGGATGTAGATGATTTTCTAATGTGTTTGGTGATGCTAATCGGCACTGGTACAGCGGCCATGCATAAATTTTCCCCCACTCCCAATTCAGGGCTGCAAACTTTAAAAGAAACGCTCATTTGTCAGGTTGGTCGGTCGGTCGGAGGGTCACCGGTGACGTCACCACTTTCGCTGGTCGATGGTTGGCTGCCCTGGGGTGTTGATGGGCTGGGAAAATTCATGCTGTAAGGTTGCTTTCTGTAGTTTTTCGATAGCCAATCAAGATCATTACAGCATTATTACGCAGTTTTATAGAGATCAAAAAGTAAATGTTGCCAATCGGCATCACCGAGCAACTAGGGGACAACTTTTGATTTTTTAGGTCATGTTTACTCAAGTTATCGTGCGCGCGAGTACATGCGTTAAACGCGCGTTTCAGTCAGTTTTATTAATTTTTGCGAAGAAAATGCTGTGTTGAGTGCCTGGAACAATTGTTTAAGAGGAGGAGCGTTTGCGAATAGACGAAATCGTCAAGTGTCTTGGTGAAAATCCAGAGAAATCTGATGATTCAGACCTCTGATGTTCTTCCTTCTGATGTCCTTCTGATGTTCTTTTTTCAACGAATAAATTTCATTTCTCTACATTATTTTTCACATTGAGGTCATTCTTTTCATTATTATACACCTAGGGTATTTAAACTTTAGTTGATTTTTTTAAAACTAAATATTTTGGTCGGAAGTTGGGCCTAGGTCTAATTTTTTGGTACGCTTGGAAACGCAAGAGTTTTTCCTCCCTGGAAAGCCGTAGCATTCAATTTTACCTACGATTTCTCATACTTTTTCTTTCTTTTATCATTCTAAATTAATACTTCAATTTATTAGCTCAAAATTTTCCACTTCCAAGTCTTTCAATTTTTTTGTCGAAAATTCTCAAAGTTTTCGGTGATGCCGTTTGGCAACATTTGGTTTTGTGCCCATTAAAGGTCAAAAGGTCAAAATTTTCAAAAACGGCAAAAGACGTGTCCATTTTCCCTCATAACCTACCACATATATTTTTTTCATCAAAATCGGTGATCCAAAATTAATTCGTGCAACAAATGTAATCGCAGTAATGTAGAAAAATTTTGATGGAGCCATCATGGAGCATAAAATTTTGTTCTGAGTAAACATAGGACTGACATTGTATTGATCAGATGTTGATTCCTCTCTTTAGCTTGAATTATTTTTTACTCTGGAAGAAGAATTAACTTTTTTTTAATATGGAAGAGTATAAAGTTTGTATATTGTATGTTTGAAAAGATATGATAAAGATCAGTGGTACTTTAATCATGAATTCTTTTTTTGAGAACGAACTTTTGCTTTTAAGTGTGAACTTGATTTTGATTGACATTTATCAAATGCTTCGCAGGACCGAGTGACATGAGGTTTGCATTTGAAATGGCCCTGGACCAGTCTCAGTCTTGTCGCAAAAACTCGAAACAGTCTCAATCATCCTCAAAAACGCTGAAAAGTTTCTTCTCTCCGTCGAAAAGCGATCACTCTTCATCGCCTCAAAAAACGTTACTTGGTAAGTTGAAACACATTCCATTAAATTATATCTGTCCTGAAGTTTTTGTAAGAAGAAATTTCTTTTCAATCCTAATTTTCAATTAACATCTCGGTATAATTAAAGACCAAAATTGATAACCTTTTCAAGATTCTAGGCGGTATTTTTAATTTAAAAATTTAAAAGCTGTCACTGGTAATAGTCTTTTAGACTAAATTTCATCAGTATGAAAATGAAAACACGACTCCAATTTTCCAGGATCGCCAAGGTTGCATCGTGTTCTATTCCGTGAAAAGAAGGAAAGAGAGCCACCTGTTCCTCCTCCACGACCTCTACACACTCTTGCTGATTGGGCCAGCCGCACCAATCAGAGAGATCATCTAGCAGAGAACGATCTCAGTCTGGACAGTGTAAGTTTCAGTTTTTTATTAAATTATATCTATTCCTGATTGATCTTGATTTTTAGTCAATGCTCTAACTCCAGTCAAAGATACAGTGTTTTACTCAATTTTTTTTCAAAATGATGAGCGGAAAAAAATGATAGTTAGAAGTCTCCAACTCAAGAAACAGAGAGCTAAGGGAAAGCCCTATGGACTCCAAACCTGTCATATTCAGGGGTTAAAGCTGTCAAATGAAAATGAAAATCAATGCCCTCTGCTCCCACATCGATGTATTGAATATTTTGAAATACTTTTCTGCACTTTAATAAGCCTAAAACTGGTTTTTTGGCTGAAAACAAGAGGCTTTAAGTTGAAGTTAAAAGAAAGATGTTTCTCAGTGGCTTATAGCTAATAACATCATATGACCAATTGTTCGAACCACCTTGAATCGGATGCCATATGGTTAGAAACCCCAGAAATTCGTTCGCGCGATTCGCACAAATTTTTAAAAAGTCGTCTTTAAGCACTTGAACCAAGCTCAGAGGCATCATGAAGTTCCGTTGATTTTGAGTGTGTAATCGAGAATTTCACGAATTTCGGCATTTGGCGCAAATTTCGACATTTTATGCAAATTTTGGCGCGAATTCATCAGTTTACAACACGAATTCGCGAATTTTGACGTGATTTGCGCTGTTGCTGGAAAATGCGCGGAAAAATTATGTTTATCGTATTCGGAGCCGGTGATCATTCCAGTGGGCGGGACGCGGGAAATTTCGTGAAACTCCAGTTTCCATCGTCGACCAATCGTAGATTTGTGCTTCATTTCGCAGTAAACCACTGATTCTACCAACTACGTTTTTCAAATTTGAAATAAGTGATGATAAGAAAACACATTTTTAGCAAGAATTTGGCAGTTACTAGGGAGAACGTCAGAATTTTTGAATTTTCAGTGAGAATTTTAGGATTTTTAGCGAGAATTTTCAGTTTTTCAGGAAGAATCCGAGAACTGCCGTAAAATCCTAGCAAGAATTTGGCAGTTTTTAGGGAGAATTTTGAGATTTCTAGCCAGAATTTGGGTTATTCAAAGTCACAAAAAAATGGGGTCTCTACTTATGATCGGTGTACAATTCAAATCATTTAAATTATCATGATCAAAGAGCATACGATAAATCAACATGATTAATACTCTCATTTATACATACTCTCTGGAAATGCATTTAGAAAATTTGTGTAACAGCCTCACTGAGCCTGTAGTCAAAAAGAAAATTTTGGTAAGTTTATTTGAGAAGAAAGTTTGTGACCATCTAAAAAGAAGGGCCTAGGTGTCTAAAACTGCAAACTTTAAAGAGAACCACTGTTCAGAGATCTTATATACATTTTGTTTTGCACATAAAATTGCTGAATTGTGTTGTAACCTAACCGCAATCATGATGGTTTGAAAATAACGTTACTGAAAGTCAGTTTTGAGTTAGCGTTATTTAAATTCATGTTTTTCCATGTTCGGAAGTATCTATTGTTGGATTATACTGCAACTGTGCTCTCTGTTTTTACGCAAAATTGAATGAAACCATTCTCAACTTATTCTTTGAGATTCTCAGAATTTTTTAGGCTTAAAACTCAAATTATACACTTTTTATCCAATTTTGACAAAAAAAAAGCCCTTCCGTTATGTCCTCCTTGGCACAGTAAAGCATCTTTTTCAGTGGGCGATCTTATTTTCGCTGTGTTCTTGAATTTAACATGTATTTTCTTTTCTCCACAGCCTCGAGGTAGCGGTGACTCAGCAAGTTTGCGGCTGCCCCTTCCTCCGGACTACCCAGGCTTAGAGTATCCCCCGGTCTTTGAGCCAGAGACCTATAGTCTGTCCAACGCCACGACAGTGAAACGTGATAAAAACACCAAAGACGACTCCCCCCAATCAAATTAATTTTAGATACTTATTTGTACTGATTTTTAGCTATGCTCGAGTTCATGCGGCTCCCTTCAAAAGCCACTCAACTCATAATTATTAGTCGATTAGTCATATAATCTTCTGTTTATGGTGCTTTAGACCGGTGGTTTTGAAGAAATAATGTACTCTGCAACAGTTAATTTGAAAACTATGTGCCTTTTAGGAAAATAGATGCCTGAAGTGTGTAAAAAATGTGTAAACCAATATTGTAGTGCTTTCATAATCTTAGTTTAACAAATTAAATATTTGTCACCTATTGATCGGGACTTTTTTTGACGATCAACTGATTTTTTCATCCATATTTTAATGCAATCATAGACTATTTCATGTAAAAGGTCGAGCTTACTAGGAGTGCAACAGATGGATTGTCTGTTAACCAAGTATTATCTTTTCTATTGAAACAATTCAGATGTATAAATTGCTGAATTATTGTTATTGTATCTTGTTAATTGATTCACATTTTATTTTTTACACTTAGGGAAGATAATATTATTGCCTTTTCATTATCATTATCGAATGGACTGATCTGTAAAATTGCTATCATGAATATTATCCAATATATTGATAAGCGGTTGTAATCACAGAGTATTGAGATGATAGTTATTCAAGTGTAAAATATTGAAATTTTTTTGTTGTTAATCACGAGGTAGATTAAGGGGAAAAAAAGTTAAGAGTAGATCTCGCCTCTGTTTCTTAAAATTTTTCAAATATCACAAATGGATGCACTAAATGAAAACTCAGTGTGTTTAGTTGAACTTAAATGTGAATTCATGAAATGAAAAGTGTATGGCAATACATAAATTTGATTTGCATGATCGGATTTTGCATGTTTAAAGATCCGTGGCCATTTGTCTCCCAAAAAAGTATCGTCCTACGATTTTCAGCATAGTTATCTCTTACAGATCGAGTCTTTTTTAACAATTGTATTTCCTATAGCCTTGGTTAGAAAAGATAATAGGGCTCTTTCTGGCAGGAAATATTTTTTAATTTGACCATCTGTCCCTCTATACTAAAAGGGTGTCTACAAGTCCGGAAATAGTACTGATTTTTTGAAGTACTGAAAAAGTGCGGAAGTTCCGTAAGAAGGTCCGAAATTTGTTCAATTTTTTGTTTCAATTTGAGCGAAAAATTCAAATGTTTAAAAATTTTCGAATGTCGTCGAATGGAGGTACCGAAAAAGTACTGAATTTCTTTTGAATGTACTGAAAAAGTACCGTAAAAGTACTGATATTTGGCAAGCCTGTTTTAGTAGACACCCTGACTAAACTTTTGTGAGAAATCTTATAGTACCTCTAGTACTAGCTATTTTCAAAATGAATTATCTATATGTTCTTCAGAAAAGTTAATCTCAAGTAATCAAACAGATCTTTATTCTTTTTAATATAATTTCTGTGCTCAGTGCATGGGAAGAATCTAGATTTTGTTCTTCTACAAACAGAAGAACGAATTACGGAATTAATTTAACCACTAAGCAGCGGGAACCTTGTAACAATAGCTCAGCCTTGAAGATGTTTCAGAAATTTGCAATAACTTCTGGGGTGCAGAAAGCTCTGTCATTTCATTTTTTTAACTGGCCTCTTCATTTTAAAAAAACCTTTTTCCTAACATTTTCCTAGTAATGATCTTTATTTTGTTCTTTATCCTCAAACTACGGTGATATTGCCAAAAATGTAAAGATTTCCTAGGTCCCAATCGTGAGCTCGGGAAATTTCTGCATCCCTAAATAACTGTATTTATTTTTCTCAATCAAATTTAAAACAGTATAAATTTGTCTTTAACAGGCTTTTTCTTTTTTACTTTTATATGCTAGTTAAGTTCTCATAATTAGGTAAACGTATTCAAGGCTTGATAGAGTCAGCGCTAATTACCAAAACTTGTCTAGCTTTAATATTTTGATAGTAACTCTTTTTGTATTTTTGCAATGGAATTTTGGAACTTTGACTGTACCAAAACTGTAATCATAACTTCAGTTTTTTACCTGTTCCAAGTTTTATGAAGCATAATGAGAAAAGCCTAGAGCTCAGGCTGCTGGACTCTTCCTTCATTTCTGAGTTTAGTTTGTTGATTTTTAGTTTTAGAATCAGTTTCAACGAAAAACTGACATGAAAGCAAGTGTGAAAATCCTTCTAGGTGAGACTTTTCTTGTTTCATGACTACGTTTTTACTGCTATCGTTTCTTTTAAGCGATGAGGCTCTTTTTGTTTCTAAGTATTTTTGCATTTTTTATTTTTCAAGGTAAATCAAGTATTATTCGTAATTTCTCCCAGTATTCATTGTCCCTGCATGAAGAAATGTATCTTGCCTACGCCTCTCCAGTATTTACAAGAACACTTTATATTTTCATAAGAGGACCATAGTACAAACTTTTCTGCAAATTTTAGTGTTTTTTCTTGCAAGTGTTAAGAAAAATCATTAAAAATCTTAGACAAAGTCATGCGATGATTCTCTTATGAAAAATGTCAGAAAAGAATATTGAAAGAGCACAATCAAGGTATGTTCCTTTGTGCAGGAGGTGAAGAATTAAGCTTATTCAAAAGCTGAAATATTTTCCTTCTCTAATTTGCTTTATCATTATTAATTGTTCTTCGGCCAGTTAATTGTGAAAAGCATCTATTACAGGTACATCTGTATTACAATCCTAAATTCTATCGTAAACAAATTTTTCTCACTCTTTTTATACAATAGGAGATATTCAGAAGTCTCATTTTACTCATAACCCCAATGTGATAATAATGGTAATATTGACCGACTGACTTAGCCTGTTGCCTTTCCCATTTTTAGTTTTTGTAATGCTTACCTTATAGTTGCAATTACTACATAATTAAAGAACAAGTTTCAAAAAGTTACTGCTGTTAATATGACACAGCATTCCATACTTTTCTCTGGTATGTATTAAGTTTTGGTCTTAACCAAGATTAATTCGAAGATTTCCCTGTAACTGGCAGCAACGCACCATTGTATGTCAGTGTATTTTCCGAAGGAAGTACACTATATCATTATCCAAACTCTTTTTTGCTACTTTTAATGGAATTGTATTTTGATGCCAACGTTTATGAAAAAAATGTTTCTTGAAATGACTTCATTCATGGTCGCTGTTCTTTCATGTAAACGATGTGGTTCAAGCAAGTGAAGTAGTCTGGTATAGACATCCTGAAGAATTTTGTTTTTTTTTTTTCAAACTTGGTAACACATCATTATGGTTCCCTGTCAGAGGAAAAATCAGAACTAGAGAGATCTAAATACTTTCTTCACAACTAACTTTTGTCTAGCATGAAGAACCTGTAATGTATTTCCTCAAATTTTCTCACTGAAATATGGGATAGTATTTAAATAAGTAAGATTTGTAAGCGTTACCCTGTCCCTTTCCTCCCTTCCCCCGGTTAAAATTTTCTTAAAGAACTCTCTCATGACCAGTTGGAGAAAGGGCCCTCAACTTCCCAAAAAATGAAATTTGCCATAATGGTACCATTGCTTGATGGAGATCATTCTGGTCATTTTTGTTAAAAACGTCCGAAACTTGTTTTTAAACACTTTTGATACAAAACATGTATTTTTATACTTTGAAATATTTGATGAAGCAGAATCAACGGCCTGACAACTATCTACTTCAAAGGTTCCTGCTGTTACTGACAGAGGAAATTCTGATAGTAATTTTGTTTTCTCCTTGCTCTTCAGTTTACTTGTTATAGATTTCTATTGAAAACAGACTTTGGAAATCTTTTATTCAGACTCAGTGAATTCGTTCCTTCGGAAATTTTGCATGTGAAATTTTAGGACCTGTTACCAGGGTTACACATGTTTTTTCAGCACTTATTGTACCCTCTGTTGTTTGTCAGGAACGTCTGAATGAGGGCTTTAGTAGTTATGAATGTTTCAATTTTTATCCCACTCTCTCTTCAATAGAATTTAAAATCGTAGGATTAAGTGCCTGCTCTTGTTGAGCTAATACATACATGATACAAATCATCTTGCAAAGCAATCTGTTTCAAAATGTAAGCGTATTTTAACTACCATTGTATCAGTATAGTGCCATAATTTTAGCATTCCTATCGATCTAATTTCAAATTTTTTCTTGAATAACTAGAGAGGAATAAAAAAAACCGCAATTATCTTTCATTTGTCTTCCATGGTGTTCAGTGGCTGTTTTCATCAGCCATGAATTCCAGTCCTTCTTAGCTCAAATGATTAAATTAACAAAATCTTACTTCAAAATTGGCAAATGTAGAATGCTGCATCTAATAAAATATTAAAATGCACCTCTCCAAATGCAGTTTATTCTGAATGTACTGGTTTTGTATTTAATAACTTACTCGGTCTGAATCATGAACAATACAAGTATAGATTTTAAACGTATCGGGTCAGTGCAGGTTCTGTCAGTCTTCGTTAACACAAAACAACATAATTTAGTCTAATTAAATTATGGACGATTAAATGCATGTTACAAACCTACCTAGATAATTATAGGTCATTTCAATCGTTGTCAACACGAACTAACTTTTTACAAATACTCATTATTTTATATCACTTGTATAAGGAAATTTTATCTTTTGTTAACTTTCCTAAGCTTTAAATTTGTTTTCTTTTTTTATTTAGTCTTTATATTTTTGTAGTGCACTCGTTAATGGTTCATCATAGCAAATTCTTGTTTTTTAAGCAATGTGTTTGGAGCAACGAAGATTCTTTGCTCGTGCAGTGTTTTTCGTTAAATGCAGCAGCCTTAATATTTTGCCTTATTTTCTTTTTTCATGTAACTAACTGATACCGTATTTTAAACTGTGATTATAAATTGGAGAAAAAATATCCTATAAATCGCTTTCTCCAAAACAAGAGGTAGAGTAGCATTACTTTTATTTATGAAGACCATTTGAACAATCAAGAGGCTCTGTGAGATGAATTCTTACTACATATTTCTAAGATGGATCTTCTGTGTAAGATGATCAGTAACAATTTGACAGTGACAATCTCAATGTTACTAAAGTATTGTCCACAATGTTACAAATATGAAGTATGTAACCATCATTAAAGGCTTGTCTTCAGGATATTTTATCTCTGATGAAAATTATGAACAGGTAAAGTCTTTCTATTCTATAACCTTTTCTTTCTGCTTTGTAGACTTTATTCTCTTTTCTTAAAGAAACGATAAATTGTATGAAACATTTTGTTAAAAGTGTAATAAATATTTGTTTGGTAAGAAAACAAATTGAAGTTATTTTTATGCGTTGTCCTTAAAGTGGTGTTTAAATTCTAGGCGACACTTGAAACTTTCTTGTTTAAGCACAAGAGGAGGGCAGGGTCGAATGCTAGTTATTGGCAACAGCAGGGAGCATTTGTACATTCTTCTATCGCATCAAAGAGGAATTCCTTTATCCTTTATCTTAAACAACTACAGGGCCAAGTTATTTATGTCCCTTGCTTTTCGTTATACACTTTTTAGATTCACCATCCCCGTGAATAGTTGCACATCTAAAGGGCCTCGCACCATAAGTTTGTAATGCCTAGGGGCTGAAAAATATTTAAAACAGCCCTGATGTATTTTATTGGTACCATGAAAATTTGTTGAAGAATGTGGTGCACCAGCTTCTATTTCATAAAATGATACTTTTTTTTGTCAGATTTGGTTCAATGCACCAATCCAGGCTCCTCTGAATTGCTAGCCCAATCATAGGCCATGGTTTTTTTTTTTTTTTTTCAGAGGTAGCCGTATCTTTAAATTTAGTGTTATTACAGACCATCTGTTATTCATGAAGGAACGCATTGTTGTAAAATCGCTTTTTTATGAGTTCACTTTAGAAACCATGCATTACAGAAGAGTCCTCTATAAAACTGAGATTTATCTGCTTAAGTTGAATTTCACTTTTTTGATAGGGACAACAGAAGTTGAAAATTGAATCATTTTAAACCTATCGAGGAGGCTAAGTCAAACTTTTTTCTCTGTATTTATGATCTCCCTTTTTTCTAATCGCAACTGTGCAACAAGAGAGAGTAAATATTATTGAAAGTTGAATCATTTTAAACTAATCGGGAACACAGAATTGACCTTTTTTCTCTGTCTTTATGGTTTACCATTTTCCCAATCGCAACTGTATGACAAGAGTGAGAAACAATTATTTTATAAGCCATTATAGCAACTACCCTCATGTTAAGGCATTCCATGCACTTAAACCACTAATTGTTAAACAGCTCCTATTCCATAAAATGCAAATCGATGGTGAAACTTCCAAACCACGTCTCTCTCCCACTAATTGAAAGATGCGGCACGTCTAAGAGGCACACTCGGCTTTGAAACGCCGCCGTTTTATCGTCAATCCTTCTCTCACTCATTGATTACCTGGCGTTGAAAACTTTCGGTCGTACATTCATTTTTTGAACGAAGAACTAGTAAACATCAATTCTAAAGGACTTCCGTGATTTCTCTCCTTTCTGCAAAGTAAATTCTGATAATTTTTCAAGGACTGACGTTCATTTTTTCCCTTATACAAGAGGAAAACGGAAGCAGAGATTTTTAAACAGGAGAGAAACGTGGTTCGATTATTTCACCGTCGAAACGTGATTTCTTTTGTTGATATGCAATCTTTCCAGCAAAGCCAGAGCATGAGAGAAATAGAGAGGGAGATATAAGCTCAGAGTGGGGGAAAAAATTATTTTAACGTACGAAATATATTGAATGAGTATGTGAATGGATCAGGATGAATTTTGAAACTTATAAGGCACTCTTGGATTTCAAAATGTAAAATTTTACTTTCCAATTTTGAGCTTGCCGAGAACAATAGCGGGAAAAAAAAGCCCGTCATTTTAAAATGCGCGCCATGAGATCTCTTGCTAACGCGCCTGCGCATTGGCTCATGACGTGACGTTTGTTTATGTTTTGCTCGTCCCTGCCCCTCCCTCCAAGCTTCTTTATCTTTTATCAGTAAACAAAAGAAAAATACAAAATTATCAAGTGATAGCTCTCGTTTCTCCGCTGCAAGAATTGATAAGAATTTTCTTCAAAAGAAAAATCTTTTTAAGTTGTTCACCGAATTGTAACTCTAAATCTTCACCTTGGGAGGGAAACCCTTCATGACTTTGTGAATTTTTGTAGTTTCATCTGCAACACTCCGCAGGTACACAAGTTCATTGATTTTGTCCATTTACGATCAACTATTAATCTTCATCAACTGATTAAAGTTAATGTTATTGTAAAAAAGTTTATCCTTAAATTGATTGAGCACAGATCTTCAGTAATCTTTGAGCAGATTTTCAGTTTCAGGTACTGTTTAATAGTGTGTCACTATGTTAGGAAATTTCGGTGATTTTCTTTTTCCAGATGAATGCTCAAGAGCAATATCAATGCGAGTGTCACAATATTCGATTCTTATTGGTCCTCTTTTCTTCACGGGCAAGTTTCCTGCCAAAACCGAAAATTAATCAATGCGACTGCGCGTACCGTATATTTTAGTAATCTGCAGAGAGAAGTTTGAAGTAGCGTGAAGAGCATACTTACCTTTGATTCAACCACCTCGCACTTTGAACTCTGTACAAAATGTTAACCAACTACGTGCAGTGTTGCGTGGTGTTGTTTACAGTCAGCCCATCGCCAAGATGTTTATTTTGCAGCATCTGACCTATGAGATAGACACTAACAGTGCAAAGTGGGGGCATACAATTTTGAAACGTCAGTTCTTACTTACCAGTGTTTTTTATTGCTCAACAATGTCTGCCTTTTCCTCTCTTGTTCTTCCAGCACCATAGAAATAGATAATGCCAGAAAATACTCCGGCACCCATTTATTACCTATTAGAAATTGATATTCGAGATACAGTCACCCTCTGATAATTCGAAATTCAAGGGATAAAGGAATTTCTGCGAATTATCGAGGTTTTGTATTGGAGTGTTTGAATTAGAGAGAGTCTGTATGGAAAAATTTCGAATCAAAGAGGTTTGAATAGTGTAGGGAAATAAGAGAGCTTTTCGAATTACAGGGGGAATTTTTAAGGTGAATGATTTTGAAAACAAATACTTTTATGTATTTCTTTAATACATTCAATATATCAATCAATTATTCATACACATATTATTCGGAATTGGTTCCAAACCTTGGTATACCGTATACATAACAATTGATTTTGAATTATAGAGGGAGAGGAAGGCCTTTTTTTTAAAGGTGAGAGGGACTTCGAATGAAAGAGAGGGAGTGGAACGCCTTTTTCGAATTAAAGAGAGTCCAAACTGCAATGCCCAAAGAATTTTGAATTACCGAGGGAATCAAAATGCATTGATTTTTTTTAATTTGAGAGAGTTTCTCACGGGGCATGCCTTTTACTTTGAATTATTGAGGTTTTCCAATTAAAGAGGCTTGAATTATCGAGGGGTGACTGCACTCACTTTGAAATTGATAAACCAGAGCTTCAAATCTCTTCGCAGAACTAATATTTTTTTCGCTTTTGTTCCAGCTGTTAAGAATGGAGTTGTTATTTATTCTTCTAACAGCTGTGCTTTCAGTAAGCTGTAAAAAATTAGTTGAATTAGATCCAGTCATAAACTTGGAAGATATAGGACCATACGAGCCGCAACAAATTCATCTAGCTCTTGGCAGTACGTACAATTTTTGTGATTAAATTAATATTATGCACATCGTAGCATGAAATCACAGAGCTTAAGGATTGATGTAGGTACCACAAAGACTGCAAGTTTTAATCTTATCCGAGATTATCATTTTTCATAGCTTGTCTTATTTTTTATTGTATATATTTCTATTTTGGAGGCCGCTAAAAATCTTGTGTGAGCAATAGTAATGGAAGGACAATAATAACAGTAAAGAAGTCCTCCTCATTGATGTTTATGTTTTCAGAAAATTCTCGGTGAACACCAAACGTTTACTCTTTTCAGCCAGAGCATGTTAATTGTAGACTTGCTCGGTTCCATACATCGTCACCTTCTGGCCAAAGTATCACAAGGGCCATTTTTACCAAAATTGAGTTATGAATAGTTTCGAAATGACGAGATGCATTTACATACGAAAATAATAATTTTTAAAAAAGAAAAATTGTAGAATAAAAATCGATTAAAGTTGATGTACTTTCGTATCACAAGCGCACCATTTGGGAGAGAACTGTTACAAGCGCCAAGTTTGGCAACCGCCCATCTCTCTGATTGTTTACAATTTTTGTTACAGCAACCCTCGGAATGACTTGAAGCTAAATTATACTCATCTGTAAATGCATCTCGTTATTTCGAAAATCATATTTTTTTAAAACTGAATATACCTAAATAAAAATGGAAAATACTCCATAGAAGTTGATAAGCTTTTGTATCACAAGCGCCAAGTTGGGTAATCGCTCATCTTTGGGATCATGTTTGCCAGAATGCCCCAAGAATGCGAAGCACCAATGTTGAAAGAAATCAATTTTTTTAATGGAAAGGACCCCGCACACTCCTTATGAGAAAGTGCACCACAATCGATTTTTAATTTTTTTATTGCATTCAATTCTCCTCAAGATGCTGATCAAAAGTCATCATCGCGCCAACTTTCTATGATGCACCCTTTTTACACAACCTGCCCGCAAAGTTTCAATTGTTCGGCGATGAAGAGTCAAAAAGAACAAGGCATTCGAGAACAGACTTGATGTAAGTAAGGATAAACGTAGCGCGTGTCGGTCTCCTTATCTGTTCCTGCCTACTCTGGAGCTATCTTTCTCCTGCTCTCGTCCGTTCGACGTTCACTGTTTTTCTCCGACTTTCCTGTTCTTATGCTCCTCATGAAACTGATTTGAGTGGTCCAGCAAAAAAGTGTGCGGAATCCGAGATGAGACTGCTGCTCGGTGCTGAAGTTTCCCTGATTCCCTTGTTGACACACAGCTGATTGTTCGCTTGAGTGCTGAAATGAGGAATCTTTCTGATTCTTTATCGCGGAATAATTGCAACTTTACAGGCATGTTGTGTAAAAACAGTGCATCGTTAAAAGTTGGCGCAATGATGACTTTTGATCAGCATCTTGAGGAGAATTGAATGCAATAAAAAAATTAAAAATCGATCGTGGTGCACTTTCCCATAAGGAGTGTGCAGGGAAACATATCAAAATTCAAGGCAGGAAGTTGTGCTGGATCAGAATTCCAAGTTTCAAGCCAAAAATCTGTTTTATGCGGTCGCAAATCAGTTGTTTGTGTCTCCTGAAAAGTCGGCAAAGGTGACAACATTTTTATTTTCAGATTCGACTTTAATTTTTCAGGAGATGCCTCTGAGATGGTTGTAACCTGGAGCACTTGGAAAAGCGTTGGCACACCTTTTGTCATTTATAATCAAACTTTTCGTGCAGATGGATTCTCAAAATTATTCTCGGACTATGGGAGTTTACATCGTCAACAGTACTTTCACCGAGTGACGCTCAAAAATTTGAGTCCAAACTCTACCTACAGTGAGTTTTTTTCTCATTTTTTATCAAAAATTTAAATATTCAAGTCCTCTAAAAGAAATTAATAAAGTCAATTTTTCACCAGTATATTGCTGTTTGCTGGAGAGACATCAATTTTTCAACAAAGCAGTTGTCCCTTTTCATTAATTTTTCTTTTTTTCCACTAACACTTTGATATTCTTTCTAAAGTCTAATTTCCATTCTAGAATTGTTGCTTGAGAATTGTCAAATAGCAAATGTAAAGAGCTTGATGCAAAAACGGCTTTTTTCGCCCCCCTCTGGAAGTTCTTCAGACTTTGTCTATTGATTACTCATACTTGAGCGCTTCTTTTCCCAAATTTTCAGACCCCCAAAAAATTTTGGGGGGGAGCTAGGGGGGGTGGAAGTCAAAACCTGTGAACCTCGATATCTCTTGAACAAAGAAAGATATTGAGGTCTGGTTTGGACGAAAAATCATCTAAAATTGCATACTTTAAGATTCTAAAGGTCGAAATCCCGATATCACATTTTTAAGTTAACATATGTGCTTTTTTCCAGTTTTTAGGTCAAGAAAATTTCTTTTAAACGAAAAATTTACAAAGATCTCAATTTTTTATTAGAACCAAAACCAGTTTTTTAAATTGTTCGTCTTTTTCCGCATCCAACGAGTGGTCGTATAAGCTGGGGAACCGAACGGTTCCGGAGTTATGATCGATTGAAGTTTCCGCTCAACGCGCGCCGATCGATTTTCGCGCGCAAAAAAGTCGGATTTGACTGTTATTAGATCAGATTGAATGTTCAAACTGAGCAAAATGCTTTATTAGGGACTCTTGAGGGTCGCTGAGTTCAGAAATTACCGATACTTCCAAAAAATTCACTTTTTTAAAATTGCAGCTTCGGACAGGACCACTGAGCTGCCGGTCGGCGCTCAGTGGGCCTCTAAAATAGCGCTGCTGAGCTGTAATTTTAAAAACGTAAATTATTTGGAAGTATCTGTAATTTCTGAACTCAGCTACCCTCAAGAGTCCCTAATAAAGCATTTTGCTCAGTTTGAACATTCAATCTGATCTAATAACAGTCAAATCCGACTTTTTTGCGCGCGAAAATCGATCGGCGCGCGTTGAGCGGAAACTTCAATCGATCATAACTCCGGAACCGTTCGGTTCCCCAGCTTATACGACCACTCGTTGGATGCGGAAAAAGACGAACAATTTAAAAAACTGGTTTTGGTTCAAATAAAAAATTGAGATCTTTGTAAATTTTTCGTTTAAAAGAAATTTTCTTGACCTAGAAACTGGAAAAAAGCACATATGTTAACTTAAAAATGTGATATCGGGATTTCGACCTTTAGAATCTTAAAGTATGCAATTTTAGATGATTTTTCGTCCAAACCAGACCTCAATATCTTTCTTTGTTCAAGAGATATCGAGGTTCACAGGTTTTGACTTCCACCCCCCCTAGCTCCCCCCCAAAATTTTTTGGGGGTCTGAAAATTTGGGAAAAGAAGCGCTCAAGTATGAGTAATCAATAGACAAAGTCTGAAGAACTTCCAGAGGGGGGCGAAAAAAGCCGTTTTTGCATCAAGCTCTTTCAACTTCCGGGTGAAACTCAGGTAATTTGTCGCAGGCAAATCAATTTTGTATTGAATTTCTGGCTACAGAGACATTTTAGCCTCACACATGACCCAAGTGAAGTCTATATTCGCCTTTCATTGGTAAGCAGTATTGATGATTTTTTTTCAATTTCGGCACTCAGTTGGTCTCAATTCAAAGAATTCTTCATTGTATTTTAGCCTACAAATGTGGAAGTGATCTCCAAATGTCTGAAGAATTCTGGTTCAGAACGTTCCCAGGAGATGGCGAAGACTGGAGCCCCAGTCTTTTGGTCTACGGAGATTTAGGCTTAAAAAATCCCCAATCAGTGAAGGCCATTACAAAAGATGTCATGTCCAAAAAGTACGATGCCATCTTGCATGTTGGAGACTTCGCTTATAACTTTGATTGGGTAAGTACATGCCATAACAAGGCACATTCCTAGCAGTCTGAATGATAAAACTATTCTTAGATGAAAAGACAAGCTTTGACAATTCATCTTTACCTGTTTCCTCTAATGTGGTTCACGTCTCAACAACAAATGTTGCCTGAAAATTATTTCAAATTATGTCTTTAATTATCCTGTAAATCCTTGAATTTCAGAGAGTTGTACCAAAATTTGGCAGGGAAATCGGGGAAATTGCTAAGCTATGTAGAAACTATAATCATTTGGGATTATCAGCCTTTTTGGAAAATTTTTAAAAAAACCAAAATCCTCACATGAAGATCTCTATCTATCAGCATTTGGTCCTGTTGAATCCATATTTCAGGCCTACTATTAAAAAAATTCCCCTTGTAGAAACTTAAAAACGAAACTTTAGTTTTATTTTTCCTGTCTAGTCTAACCGAGTATTTCTTCTCAGTTGAAAAATTGTTAAAGTTACGCTTTTTCATCAGAACCGTTCATGAATGATTGATATCAACTTTTAAATTTTCTTATTAGGAAAACGGAACGGTTGGCGACAAATTTATGAATCTGATTCAGCCAATTGCAGCTTATATTCCATACATGACATGTCCAGGAAATCATGAAGGCTCAAAGTAAGCTAATTTTTATTATTATTTTAAAAATTTTCTTTTCATGAAAATATTGCAAAGTTATCGTGTTTGTCTACCCATGGTTGAATTTTACCAGACAATCTTCTCACCAATCTGGAAAGGTGGAAAAGAAAGTAGAAGGGACGTAGAGGAAAATTCAGATTGATCTGAAAATGACCGAGTTCGAATTTTAAAGCCTGAGGAAAACTACCACAGCAGGCTCACAATATCATTTTATAGTATACATTGGCCGAAACTCAAAATTAATTTCAGACTAGAGCACCAATTGGATCAAATACCGTAGGTACAAGATTAATGTGCCTAGGTAAGTTCTTTTGTGTTAAACTCAAGATCGAATATTCTTGCAAATATTAATTTCGTTTCTTTGTATTTAATTAATTTATTTTTATGTTCTTTTTTTGTAGCTTCTTCCACCATTATCGGAATAGGTTCAGTATGCCTGGAGACTCTCAGAGCATGTACTACAGTTGGAACATGGGTCCTGTTCACTTTATCTCGATTGACACGGAAGCATACTACTTTGATTTTATTCGCCTGGTACAGCAGTATGAGTGGATCCGGTCTGATTTGAAAGTAAGCTAAATGTTTAGCTTTTGGTAATACTAATTTAATATCGACAGTGAAACTATACCAGACCATAAGTCTTGTTAGCAGTGTCTAAAAAGCTCTTCTCATATTTTGTTTTTTTTTTTGAAGAAGAAGAACAAATCAGTATCATTCCTTGTAGTTTTCCCAGAGTTTTTTTTCACAAGAGAGGAAAAATCAAGGAAGTTTTCAAGAATGCACCCCAAGTAGTTTCCCATTTGAAGAATGGAGTATGGCAGGAAGTCTGCAATGTTACAAACGGAGACAAGTAGTCTGGTAGTTTCACCGCCGATATTTTACTCTTGAAGGGACTTCCTTATTTTCCACTATTTTTATCCAAAACTAAAGGGTACAAACAACTGTGCTAAACAGCTGTGTCAACAAACTACATACATACATTTTTGTCGGATTTTTTATAATATTTTTTGACAATATGTGCCTTATGATTAGGAATCCAAGAACCAACTTGGCATAATATTTCCTGCAGAAATGTCTTCTAAATGAGTTTGCGCAGAGAAGAAATTTGTCCAAGGAAACAGATTTTTCCAAAATCTCACTGTGCCAATTTGAAGTTATTTCAAGGTAGCTTGATTGACATAAGTAGGTATGCTAAATGAAATATATTTCTCTGGTCAAGTTTATTTGTACTATTTTCGGAGAAACTCAATGATAATTATCATATGTTGCCTGATAATTTTCTTATTGGTGTTCTCATAATCAGTGACACTAGTATTAAATATCCATTCCTTGCTCAAAGATTTCTACGCTCACTCTTGACTGTCCATGAAGAATTGTACTCTTGTCGTACAAGAGAAAGGACCTAAGTACATTGAGGTACATCTTGCAGGGAAGCAATTTTTGTCGAATGTAATTCAGAAATTTGCTGTTGATTTTCAATTAGAAAAGCGCTGTATGATTTAGGATCAAGTTGCCAGCAGTCATGTCAGTGATTGTGCTGTTAATAGCACAAAGGTTTTTTCATGACTTTATTGGTATATTTTCTCCATTTTTAATGTTCCTTTTAACTGTATGTCCTCATTACTTCTCTGATAAACAACAACTCACTAGTTTAATTTTTATTGAAAGAATTATCAAGATTTTTCTGTTCTGAAAAGAGCATTTTTGGCTTTGTTACAAAAGGAGGCGGCAGAACATGAGCACAGGATTGTCAGACCATGGATCATCACTTACGGACACCGCCCGATGTATTGCTCTGATGACGATGATGATGACTGTACGCAACGCGAATCAAACGTCAGAGCTGGTATCCCCATACTCAGAGAGTGAGTTAAACAGTGTTTTTAATTTTCACTAATACTGGATTCAAACTTTTAAAAATCAGTCATAAGTAGTTCAGCTAACTTACAGAAACTCACAAATACCGGCCTTGTGAAAATCTCAATATTTTCAATATGATCACTTTACTTCTGTATAGATTATTAGTGGTTGCTGTGCTGTGGGAAAACGCTGTATGAGCTTTCGAATGTTGCCAAATTTATCCTGATGGTAGATTTATTTTGGAGGAAAGTTATGCATTTTTAACTTTGAAATTTCCAGATATTTCAGATTAAATTGTAAACTAACTGTCTGAAAAATTGTACTGCTACGGCATATGGAGGTGTGGCTACAATAGGTGGTGGTAGTACAATTAAGTTTTCCCATGAATCCGTCGACCAATTGTCATTGTTTTTTTGTTTGATAAAGCTGAGGGTCAGTGGCGTGGTGTGCTTTGCAATCTATCGATATTTCCCCATTTGAAGCTGTGGTAAATAATTTATTATGAAGGTGTTTGCTGCGAACACCCTGTTTCCCGTTACTTTTCCATAGGTTTAAATGACGGATCAATTGATATATCGCAAAGCAAGCCACGCCACTGCTGAGGGTATGCCTTACGCTTTCATTTACACCACATTAATTTATCTCTTTTAATTCAAACGATATAAAACTGAAAAATTTACTGTTTTGATCACTTGTACTTACTTGTGCAATCGTTGTAAATGACATTTAGTCACCTCCTGCACTAAGGAACGTATCGCAATTGTGCTGTTTCAGTATGTGTTAATGACATTTTATTTTTTCAAAGAGTTTTGTCTCATGAATTTGCCTGAAATTTTCAGTGATTTTTCTGTTTACTTGCTAGAAAAGACACTTAAATTTTAAAAAAAAATGTGTGCAATGGTTCTCACATTTCATGGAAAATAAAATGTCTGCATAAATACTGAAACAGCGCAGATGAGATACGTTCTTTCCTGCTAGAGATGAAGACTTAATAAACTTTACGACTTGCAATTTTATTTCTCAAGATAAGACTTTTATTTATATTTTGATTAATTGTGTTCGTTTTGTAACCAGCTTCGGCCTAGGTTTTGGGCTTGAAAAAATATTTTACTATTATGGAGTGGATATGGAAATTTGGGCCCATGAGCATTCATATGAACGTATGTGGCCAGTGTATGACCACAAGGTTTACAATGCCTCTCTAGATGCGCCATACGTGAACCCTTCTGCCCCTGTCCACATCGTATCAGGATCAGCTGTGAGTACTTAATGAGAATCCATTTTTTCAGCCTTGCTACCTATATTTTTCTGTCCATCAGATCCAATAGGATTTTAAGTTCTTTGACTGACTTGAAATCAACTGAGGACATTAAAAAATCAATGGAACTCTTTGAATTCCACAGATGAGAATTCTTGCCACCTTGTAACTGCTGCTCACTCAGTCTCATGGGCTTTTTCTGCCCATGAGTTTTTTTCATTATTTCAGCTGTAGCAGGTGTATAGTTGATTGCAGAAAGATAAATGTTAGTGTTATCTGTTGGCTTTGCTGTAGGGTTGACAGAATTCGCTGCACTAATTAAAGAAAGTCATTCTTGAGATCTCATTGTTTTTTGTTGATCTGGAAGATACTTGATTCTGCGTAGAGTGCTATCAACCACACCTAGCTCTCTATGGCAAAAATTAATTTTGGATCTAAGATTCCAGGGGACACTAATCTATTTTGTAGCTTGCATTAAAAAAAATAGAGTACCAAATTTTTTTCAAAATTTTAAAGTTGAGGGAATCAAGTTTTCAAAGAGAGAAGAAACTGATGAAATTTTGCAAAATCATGGCGCAAGAGAAAGATTCAATTTTTAAAAACCCTGAAAATACGTTCTTATGAATTTGTAACGCTATGCTATAGAGGGTTAAAAGAAAAAAAGATACGTCCATGTAGCAGCGAGTTCTAAGTTGCAATTGCCAATCATTGAAATTTGTGAGAAAAATCCTGTGCATTGCTTGAAATTATGGGTGCCCAATATTTTTTCAGGGATGCCAGGAGAACACAGATACTTTCCCTAACAGTGTGCGCGAATGGTCTGCATTCAGGAGCAGTGATTATGGTTATTCAAGAATGAAAATTCACAACAGAACTCACATACATTGGGAGCAGTACTCAGATGACCAGGTATGGAAAAATCTACTAACAGCGCTTTACATTGCAGGAATGGCAATTACGGTAGAACCCTGGGTTATCCGTGGTAATTATTGAGACTGAAGGTACTGTGGTTAATCAAAAACTGCGGATGATCCAAATTTATGAAACACAGGCTAAAATTGCGCCATATTAGTTGGTTTTTCTTGAAGAGTACAGTAGCAAGTACGCAGAGTAAACTTGGGTGAGACACCCAAAATAAATTTAAATCTCTTAAATAAATAAATAATAAATTTCATCTCTTTGAGTGCGATCATATCAAAAAGAAACTTTGAATGTTTGTCTATCTGATTAATTCAGAGCATTGGTGAACGGCTGCTTCTTTCTTAAGTTTTCATCCAAGGAAACAAAATATCAATGTTTTAGACGACCGTGGATAGTCCGAACCCACGAATAACTAGGGTTCTACTGTACACCAAAAATTTATCTTAAATGTATAAAGTTATTTTTCAAATAACAGTTATTCTGTAATGACTGAATTTCATAACAGCCACTGAAAAATAATAATTATTGATTACTGTTTAACTCCGTCGGTTTCATAGTTTGTTACTATATTTGATGAGTTTCCCTGCTAAAACCAATGTTTCTAATATGTATCTCTCAAGTTTAATTTTGTTAATACATGCTGAATATCGCAAATGCTTTATTTTTCCAGGACAAAGTAATTGATAGCTTTTGGCTGGTGAAAGAAAAACACGCAATGCGGCCTTTGCCGGACGATCCTGATGTGAATAGTTTCTCATGATAATTCTGTGCAACTCAACAACAATGCTCAATCACATTAGTCAGCAATCTCTGATCAAATTAGTGTCGTTAGCAATAACCATTGAAATTATTTTACAGTTTATTTTTATAGCATGTTATCATTTTTCTTGTTTTATCTCTGGTCTCTTACTTTATTTTTAAGGTTTTCATTGGTCTCGCTGAAGGTGCTTTTTCTTCTTACAGCATGGAACAAATTAGTTACTATTTATCTTTTTCATTTACTCTATTTTATTTCATAAAAGACATATTAAAATGGTTGATGTTTTAAAAGCGGTCACCACATAGGAACTTTTTCCATTTCTTTTAACCGTTTTTTATTAGCAGTCGGAAGAAAACGACACTTACTACATGCTTCAGTAAGCCGGTTGTGAATAGTTGAAAATAATTTTAGACTGAAATTATGTATAATCAATGATCAACTTTAATTCTAACTATGATGAACATATTTGTTTTATAACTCTTCATGAAAGTTGTTGCTTCTTTGGAAAAGGAAAAAATATCGCTCCTTAAAGAATAGTTCCAGGCCTGTTTGGTGAAAGACACAGTTAAGCTTACTGTTATCATATACGTAAAAGTACATGTAGCTATCAATTTATGTAGGCTCTTTGTTTGTGGACAAAGTTCTTGTTACTTTTTATTTATGCCTAAAATGATTTTGTAAGTCTTTTTTTCTCACATGATGGGCAAGCTTCTTTCTATTGTGTAACTCATTTTGAACGTGAATTGAAATCATCGAGCAAATTTTAATAACGTGCCATGCTGCATTTTTTTGCCATCTCATTTACCAAAATTTTCTCCCAAAAATGATTTAGGTAACAAATTTTCAGGAAAATTTTTTTTTCAATTTTTTTTAAACAAACTTGTATTTTTTTCAATAATTTCGCAAAATGCTAGAAGTCATCAAGGTTTAATATGATCAAAGATTTTAATTCATGAGAAAATCTGTTACATCTCAGAACCTAGTTGCCGCTTGGCCCAATCTATAAGAGGGGTTCCAAAAAAAAAAAAAAAAAACAAAGTTGTAATTTAAAAAATCTGAGGATGAAAGGCTCACCAGAGATTATTAACGGCTGGTAGCTAAAAATTCATAGACATCAGTCTTTTAGGTCTGGATATAACTGTGTATGTTACAAAAATTATGTAACCAGGAGCTTCAAATGATGATTTGATCAAAATTACTAGCGGTCGAATCGTCAATTCACGTTTATTTACACTTCTACTTCTGCCGCAGAATGGGTAGATGCACATGAAAAGAGGCACTTTTGTTTGCATTTTCATTAACATCAACTCAACTTAGTCCCAAGACTATTGTAAGTTACCTATGACGGTGTAATTTTTAATGCTTTGTTATTGATTGTTTCTTAAATAAAGAAGAGATGATTACACTGACAAGTGTGTTAACTTCTTTTGTCCACGTACAATTTTGTCTGCTGTTACCTATGAATTGAAAAATTACTTGAAAAAATATAAAAAATCAGTCTGAACATCTAAAAACAATGAAATTCTTAATGAAGTTGCAAGGGTTTTACTACGTTTGTTTTAGGTTTGCATTTAAAAATTCAAAGTACGAAGCTGCGATTTTATCGAGATCCGGTTGAGAGGGAGGGTTCAGCTTGGTGTATGATAGAAACTGCCGTCTTAGTTTTGCCAGTTTTATCGGTGTTACACTTGAATCTAGGGACGAAAGCTCGTACTTTTCGTAACCAGGCAACTTTACATTTTCCCCCAACAGGCATAGATTTTTGGCAGATAGAACAGCCTAAAAAGAAACAAAAGAAACGATAAGATACAATTTAAGGAAATAAATATTCTGGTTTATAAAAGCACTTGGAATTACTTTTTTCTTGACCAACAAATAGGTACTTCTTTCCAAAAAGGTAATTGCAAAGGCTGTTTTGAGATTTAAGAGCTTTGGGTTTTTTTCCTCTCTCATTGACTACATCATGAAGTAACAAAAATTTCAGTTAGAACATGCTGTCCGGAGGGTTAGCCTCTAAGTTTTTCATTGATGTACTAATTTGTGCTTATCGCCTGTTCAGTTGTCATGCAGAAAGTTTCACCTCCTGATAAGTGTAGAGATGAAGGCAAATAACATAACGAAAGGAACTTCCGTGAAAGGAGTTAGTTTCGACCACCATGCGCTGTTGACTGGTTCACATATCGCCGCTCCTCTGGCTAAGGACGTGTCTCTACTTTCGCATGAGCCCTGGAAAACATAAGAGTTGTGCAGAGTACAGGGCCCCCATGGAAATTGAGGTATGCCCTTACATCAGCGGAGCGACGATATCTGTGCATGGAAGCATCTTTGCTTATGGTCACTCCCTCGTAGCTGTTCAGAACCCGGCTTTGCAGCCATCTACAAATGGAAAGTGAACAACTGCCTGCTTACGTGGCAGGAGCTTTAAAGCTTGGTTCAGACCAGTCAAGCATTTCCCAAACTTGTTTGTTGAACTACATTTGACTCAATTGAAACTAGTTTGACAAACATTCAGCAAACCACAATATAATATTTAACCATTGAAATCATGCCTGAGCAGGTATGACAGTGCATTGAGACAATAAGAGGCTACTAGTTAAATTTTTTTTTCTGTTCCCAAATAAAAAATTTAATTTAGGAGAAGATTCCGTGATTTTATGAATGTTGCTTTTTTGTTCTCAGTAAAAATTAAGGCTTCATGACTAGCAGTTACTAGGGGGCTACGCCCCCTGGCCGCTACGCGGCCCAACCCCCTGAAGGCGCTCCGCGCCATCAATGGGCCGCTTCGCGGCCCTATTTTTACCCTCCTATCAGTGTTAGTTTTATTTTTCCCCTAAAAAATTACGATATGAGGTATACTTTAATTTTAAACTTTACTTAAAATTACTTTAAAATTAAAAGGACGCGTTTTGGAATGACTGCTTGATGAAATATTGCAGTAAAACAATGAACAATGATAGTCAGGTAATAATTAAAGTTTCAGGGGTCGGGGATCGAACCCACATCGAGTTCAAAGTGGACGCAATCGACGTCTTAGACGACACGGCCACCGCTCAACATGAGAATGTTGGTGCGAATCTTGTGTAGATAAGTGTAGAGCTGATGCGCAGGCTACCCATCTACTGCGCAACCTCCTAGACCACTGCGCATCCTCCCGCGCATAGCGGTAGCAGTACCGGAGCATTCTGTAAACTCACTCACTTTTATAACGTGATTTTAAAAAAACCTGGGTCCTTTTTCCAAAATCTGATTACAGCGGGCTCATCTAGGGCCTATTACCTGTCGATTTACGCAAGAATCATGGAAATCGGCCCGGTAGAACGCTCAAACGAACTATGACAAAAAGTATAAATTTACATTGTTTAAATGGGAGAATTCGCAACTTTACCACGTAATATAAAAAAACCTGGGCCATATTTTGAAAATCTGAAAAGAGTTGGCTTATCTAGAGACAATTGCCCGTCGATAGCCACAAAAATCATGAAAATCGGCCCGGTAGAACGCTGGAACTAAGCGTTACCAGTTTCGCAAAATTAGGAGGTCTTGGAGCTTATAGTATAGATACTTTGAATTTGGTAAGAGCTAAAGCTGTCCAAATCTATTATCAAAGTTTCAAATAACATAAACGGTACAAGAGAAGAAACATTTTTGACTAAGCACAATCATGTTAAAAAAATGTAATTTATGACATGGCTACTGGAAAACATGATTGACTAATCTCTAAAATAATTGATCTTCACTATTGAAATCATCATTCATTTTTCATGATAACAAACTGATCAGCATTTTCTGAAAATCTCTATACTTTTTATTCTGTACATGGGGGTCGGGGGATAATCAGAGAAATTTTAAACAGTAGATACATAGAAGCTTTTAAAGTTCAGCTATCATTTTGAGCTTTTGACACTTAACTCAACTGACTCTCTTACGAAGGAAAGCAATTACTATCAAGAGAGAGATATGGAAATACTCACAGAATTAATGTCTTGCGTTGTTTTGTCCAGTTCATACAGGAAATTGGTCGAGGCGAGAGGAGTCTATAACAAAAACATTTAATTGAAATTTAAAATTTATTAAGAAAAACAAAATTAGTAACTGTTCATAGAGAAAGGGACCTTAATGCCAGAAAATTCAAAATTAAGGTGTTGAAACACGTGCCTAATGCAATAACAGCAAATGATGGCTCCTTTTCTCTCTTTTTCTTTTCTTAGTGAATTATTTTATGCTGAGGTTGTCACACCTCGAGGCGCCCCATGCAGATGTAATTTCCTCTTGTTTGCAGTAATTTCAAGTATTAAGTTAACATTATTTGTAATTGCCAATTAAAACAGACTTAGGATTCGTGTAAAAGGGACAAACAAGAGATATAAAGCTTACACATTGCGTTGACATATTTGGTGGAGGTGCTTGCCGTTCGAATAAGCCTTTGTAAATGGTTTCGCCGGGAAGTTCATCGTCATGTTGGATAGTCACTAGTGGTGAGTCCCACCTGAAAAACAAAAGAAATGGAATTATGAGATTTCAAGAATGTATGTAAAGAACTTCATCTCCTCAACTAATTTTTTTACACTTTTCTGTACGCCTGAGATGGGCTCCTTCCTCAAGAATTTCAAATCCATTGGAGACTGCTGTCATCGATTAAATGATGAATCTGGTAAAAAGCGTACGTACCCATGGATTGCAACTTTGTAAAGTAGCTGCCATATTTTGTTTCAATGTGCGAGGACTATCCATTTTTATGCTGTTTCATCCTGCACATTTTCTGTTCTTTACTTAAAGTAATTCTGTTGTCTTGTTCTTCTCCAAAAAAAAAGTAGGAGCAGAGATGTTTAACCACTACATCAAAGGTGAGCCACACTTGAGCCATCGGTATGCACATTCACTCTTCGAAAATCCAGCTTTCGTGGCGTTTCAATGAATCTTTTGGCCTCGGATCTTGACAGCTTTATAAAAAATAAGAATTTACCTGTTTCTTGAGTCAGGTGGCTCATGCCTCATACAAAGCGCTTTGAAGGCTTCATCTGTGTACCTTTCACTTTCAGGTCTCTTCAAATTAAATTCCCATGCTTTCTCTGTTGATATAGCACACTCCACTGTCACTTGAGTTGTCTTAGCACTTTTTGATGCACAGTACATTTCATAGCGGTAACCTAGGCAGAAATTTTCAACGCCATGAAATTGGAATGTTTTCGGAAAACGAGAATATTTATTTTTCTTTCCTTTCCTGTTTAAAATTGCTAGGTATAGGCAAGTACCGTAATAGATATACATAATAATATCATATGCACATTGTGGTTTACCTATTTTTCAGGTTAATATTGACTGTTACATGGGTCAAAATTTGTGGGAAGTCACAAGACTTACAAGATTACCTAACCCTGATAAAAAAAATTTCAAAAAAATTGCATGAAGGGGGAATGTAGACCTTTCTGAGATGATAAATCGATGGTGTAAGTCCGCAATCACATATCTCGTTTGCGATGTCAATCTAGGCCTCTATGTTATTTTTTTTAAAGGAGAACAAATCGACATCATTCATTGAAGTTGATGCAGAATTTTCTTTGGATGGAGAAGAAGAATCAGAGCAGTTTTAAAGAATTGCCATTGGGTGGTTTTCCGTTTAAAAAATAAGGTATGACAGGAAGTCTACGATGTCGCAAACCAAGTTATGTGATTGTCGACTTACACCGTCGAAATGCTGCTTTCAACTGAAATTTTGATTAAAGTATCAAATGCAATAGTTTTTTTCTGCAAAATCTTGCCTATATTTTGAGCATTTTTTTTAAAAAAAAATTTGGTGAAAAAACTATTTATTCTTCAAATCAGGAGAGTATTCTCAACCTTTAAAAAAAATGGCTAAAAATGCAAAAATTATCGATGTGAGAATATATCATGCAACATTTCCACCAGTGGCTCGATTATTGAATCTATGTCGAATGATCTTGATCGATAAAAAGCATTGCGGAGATAGGGTTTATCAATCAGGCTAATTCAATACCAATTCAACAATTGACCTGCAGCAGGGTGACTGTTGAAATTGATAGACAAGGCGATAGACAAATGAGATAAGAGAAAATGGAGCGATCCTACGAGAGCAGGCGGGTGGTCGGATGGACAAAGGTGGTAGGTAATAGACTAACTAATGGCAACTGACAAGAGACCCTATGTTAGTCCATCATTTTCCCCTTAGGTCTATAACAAACACTTGTTTCAATTGATAGAATCGCTCTATTTTACCTTAGACTCCTTTATTTATTAATTTCAACAATCAGCCCAGGAAAGTCTTTTGACCCACAAATTACCCTGCTGCATTTTATAGTTTAACTGCAAAGAAATTGAAATTTCCAACAAAAGAAGATGAGGACTTAGTAACTAAGCAAAAAATTGGTGTATACCTTTAATATAATTGCTGGCGTCAAATATGACGACGTCACCTTGTGTTAGCAGCCTGAAAGGAACAGAGAATATGTTTATATTAGGAGCAGTTTATTTTTCAGACACTCAGCAGGATTAAAATACTTGTAAAAAGAAAAAAAAAGGGGAGTGAGAGAGTAAAAATTATTATAAAAGTTAAAATACAAGAAACTTTTGAGGACACAGCAAAATAATTTGTTGAGGAAAAAAATTAAAAATACATTAACTTATATTTTGACAAACCACAATAAGGACACCAAATGTGTTTTTTGCTGTCACTCCTTAAATTCTCAAAAATTGTGACCTCTTAAAATAGAACGAATGCTTTACGATTCATCTCAGTAACTTACCTTAAAACTTCTGATTTCAAGATACCCCGGATTTGCTTCTCTTTCTGGAAATCTGAAATCATCAAAAAGTCATCATTCTCATTTAAAGGGTTGATGAATAATGTAATAATTGATTGAGAAAGGCTTTAATGATTGTAATCGAAATTATTTTGAAGTGAAAAGTTGAGAAGTGACTTTTTTCAAAGATTTCGACATAATTGTAGTCATTTCTGAAGAATCTCATCACAGAAAAATCGTGGAGAAAACTGAACAACAGGTCACTTTTTTGTGGAGGAACCAAAACATGAGTGTCACAAATAGATTGTCCATATATCCTGGTCATCCGAAATCATATGAATATAATGCAGCAATGCTGTCATGGTTGTCTGGTTTTTCAGGAATTTATGTCAATCATTTAGGATTTTACAAGCATTGGTGCTCTCAAATGGAAATTTTCAAAATTTCTGCAAGAATAAATTGTAAGTTCTCAAGAGATTCAGCTCTGAAATTTCTCTGATGCTTTGCTGAGGGATGTAAATATGTCTTGTAGATCAAATAACCAATCAAAAACTAGACAATCCAACTCTAATGGTTTCTTGTTCGGCAACCCTCGAATGCATTCTGAGAATAATCCATTCTTAGAGAGGTCAATTGCTTCTCTTTGTGAGGTGGATATGCAAGTACACTTTTAAGTATATCCTGGGAACCCTACTTTTTAGAAGGTGCTTCATACAGCCTCCAAGCACTTCCGCCTGCTTTTCAAGCAGTGGTACAAATGTCCACACTTATTGGACAGACCATGAGAACATAGTCTGATGTTCTCTAAGAAATCACTGTAAAAAAAAGAAAAACATACCAAAATATAGTTCATTTTTCGGAATTCCAGAGGTGGCAATGGCATCGTTGTCTGACACTACACAAACAGTTTTGTTGCGCTCCGACAGAAGATACTTTTGGATTCTTGATGCCCACAAAGACTTTCCACTACTGGGAAACCCAGTGATGATGATTAAGGGCATGACTCGCAAACTGTAGAAATTTGGAAACTACATTTCAGAAAGAACTAGCGTCAATGATTGCCGAGGAGGAATGTAATCAAATCAAGGAAATAAGGTATAACACTTGAGTGAGAGGAAACAAGTAAAAATATTGAGAGCTGAGGTTCACGTCAGGCTTTTACCTGGAACTAACAAACAACGTAACGCAAATACTGAACAGAATTTCACTACAAAAGGACATGAGTAATTTTTATGGACTCAAAAAATATGCACTGTAAGAGTGCACATGATTTCTTGTGATTAGCCAAAACAGCAATCAGCAAACCATAAACATAACCTAATTTGAACCTAATCATGTACAAGTTGCCGGCACAGTTGCCAAGTCACTAATTAATTGATTTTGTTTTTTTTCGCTTGCGTGGTTAATCTTCAGCTGTAGTTCCGAAAAAATCCACCACGTCGCGCTGCTAAAATCCGACTCCGAAATCAGTGATTATTTAAATATCACAATAGGTATCTTAAATTCTAAGACTCATAAGTTCTAGCAGCATACGTCTGGAATCCTTAGAAACAAACGCGAGCTTTGAAAGTCTAATAATAAAAGCTGTAAATTGATCCCAGTTTCTCTTACGGGATATCTGTAAGTGCGAGAGAGACAGCTCACGGTGGGAGAGAGATATCTGCCAACTGCTGAGAGCGATCAAGCGCGATTGGTTGCATCAAGGTCATCATGCTTAACCCTACTTTTTTCTGGGATCAAATTGCAGAGCTTCAGAAATGACTTTTCACGTTGTTTTTAGGGTCAATAGGAAGAAGAATGTTATAGCTAGAACTTATTTATCTTCGATTTAAACAGAAATTCCTTCAACTTTTATAAAAGCTCAAGGACTCACGTGGTGCTGTACGGACTCTAAAACTATGTCTAAAACACAGCGGTGGCGCCCCCTGCGCGGAGAAATTTCTTACTTCACGCAGCTGTAGATACCATTGACGTATAATACAATCTAGACCGCGCATTGGGCCCGACTTTGGGCGGGGAAGGTAAGACAGCTAGGGGGGTAAAGACGCGCCTTCAGCTTAGTTGATACCGCCGGATATACGAGCTAAGTGTACCCGTATCAGGCAACGGCACTGGCAAGACTGGCATTTCCACGAATTCCACCATTGTCTCGCCGGTACACTTGCTGTGTGTTGCTGGGTTGCCTATCGTCTCGCTTGAATTTCGTAATGCGCGGTCTAGATTGTATTATACGTCAATGGTAGATACACCTTAAATGGTTTACGAGATAAACACTACTGGCAGCAATGTGGGCAGCAAAACTAACCTCACTCCTCACAAAATTCTGGCGCCAGATTATGATAGTAAACAACGCCATTGCATGTCTCATGTCACATTTCCAAAGGGATTTCAACTTCTCAAGCAAATTACCTAGGACTTTCGTACCCTGGAATCAAAATCCCTATATTGCATATGTAAAAAGGGATTTAGTCTCATAAAATTTTGAAAAGTTCTTTTAGTTGTACAGTGTGTGAGAGTGTCTTATAAACATGTACGGGAATGAAGGTGAGTTCTTTCTTTGTTGCACCAACTCCAGCAATGCTGGTTTCAGTGACTTTATATTTTGACTGTCTAGTACTTACTCCGGGAGTATTCGATTTGGAGTTTCCGATCTTGAGTATCCGAATTTTGGCATTTTAAGTCAAATATTTGTTCCCACCCGAGCACCAGTCAGGTTTCTATCTTACCCGCTACAGGTGCTACAGGGCTCCACCGCAATTTGCTGTATTCAGGGAGAATGAAACATACGAGTTAGAGAGAAGTGAGCAAGTAGTTTATTATTGTGAAAATTAAGGTATCTACACTAGTAGACTGCAACCTATGGTTTACTGACTGCTGGTGGTCTGTGGTGGGTCCCTAGGATCTTTAGACCATGAAGTCATTGAGTCCATGCTACATAAATTAATACACTATCAGAGTATGACGGAAGATCAGCTGACCTCAGTTTAGCATCCAAAGTAAATTCAAGAATCAAAATGAAGGATCTTCTATTGCATTCCAGGAGTGCGTAAACTTGTGTGATGTGGGCACTGAGAGATAAGATAGAAGATCATGCCCGAATTGCGTAAATTTGGAAATGAGTCAAAGCAGACAGGAGCATTGTCATTTTGGTCATACCTGTCATCTATTATTTTGTACCTTTATTAGTTCTGTGCAACCTAATATCTGAATTCTAATGTAAAAAGTTCTCAATTTTGGTTTTGAGCTTCAGGATTACATGTGTATTTTTCTTTCAAGTCGTAAATTCAGCCTCAAAATCAGTTGGTTTGTCTTCTCAACCTCTATTAACAAGTATCAAAGCTGTGTAATAGTAGAGAAAAATAAGAGACATCCTGGATCTGGAAAGGGCCGTGAGCCATCTTCTGAAGGTCTTAGGGTGGAAAGGGTGGGGATTGTTAGTCTTTAGCTTGCACTCGAAAGGAAGCGTTTTGTCTCAGAAAGTCACAAAATCTTGAATGAAGCATCGTAGTGCTTGCTCAGCATGGCAGCATGAGACAAAGAATGATCGGAGTATCTGATTCTTTAAAGTTTCATGTTCCGTGGACATTTATTTTTTAAATTTTCAAAATGCCATTTGATTTACCTAATTACTTTTTGTATTATATATTTTATTTTATTTTGTTTTTTTCTATGAATATGTAATGTAATATCTCCAATTTCTAAGCCTCTTAATATCGATGAGTTTCAGAATATAATCACAATTTTTTTTTTTCAGGTGGTTTTGGAGCAACTCCTGGTAGCGCTGGTCAAGACAAAAAGGTTAGATTGAACGGAGCTATAACCTATTCGTCTACTTTGTCTCTAATTTTCCTTGATGGTTTCATTCCAACTTTTGCATTAAGTACCTCACCGACAAGTTAAGCCTGTCCATAAACACACTAATTTATTCTCCACTCAAGGGCTTGTCAAATCATTTTGTACCAAAATTCTTACTTGTTGGTGTTATAACGTTCTCGTTATGATATTAATTTCTAAGTTTTCAATTTTGGATATGGTTCAGATAAGTGAATGACTTCATTAATGATGTCAAAAGAGATCAATTTATCATAAAGAAATATTGTTAAAACTAAACATGAAGCAAGGTGGAGAACTGGTGCTGGGTCCACACCATTTCGCGGAGACAACAGCCAAGAAATTCCAAAAAAATTTCAATGAGAGTCAAAAATTTTTTGCTCTAATTTTTTTTGTTCTTTCTCCTAAGTATAAAGTCGCATCAGTTTTATATAAGAACTCTTAGATCCCTTTACATTTTGTTATTAATATTCAAACAATTGTTTATACAGGCTACTACCCATCATCCTCAGCAAGAGAGTCGCAACTCGCTTGTCAAGAATGATGGGCAGTAGCCCGCAGAAACATGTGTTTGAAAATTAACATCAAAAGGTAAAAAAAATTGAAGAATTTTTAAATATTGCGCAACTTTTTACAGTCAAAAAATGATCTTGTCTGCAATAGTGAACAAATTCACCTTACTTCTTGGGGCATGTAATTTCACGGTAGTTAAGCACAGATCTCTACCACCATATTGCATCAATAATTTCTGAATTTTTAAGCAATTTTCCGTACAGCAATCACCAGCCTGTGACTGGCATTTAGAACATTTTCACACCTTTGATTGTTAAAAAATATTACGAAATAATATCTTCTTTTTGAATTTTTCAAGGGCTTTCTGGAGAACCAAACCCTCTCTCTTATTAAAACAAAATCTGCACCCAAATTGAGCCTGCCAAGGCAACACTGTAATTAAATAAAGTGGAAAACAAGTGTTTCAGGAAATCTGTGAAGAAAAGGAAACAAATCTCAATCCCAGCTGTGTGTTCATAATGTTAACCTTATTTTTCAGGGCTCTGTCATGGTTACGATGAGCAGGTGGAAATATATCTGTAAAAACTCAACTGAATCCTGTCTAAATCTTTGAGTTGCCTATTTAGCTATTCTTCTTTTTGAATTCTGTGGCAAGCCAGTTCATCATGTGGCGTCGAAATGTGAACCTTATCTTTTTGTAGCCTTCCTGTTTAGTTACCAGAGAAGAGAATGATGAATACTTTCACTGATCTATATTTTTCTGAAACTTTATTAATCAGTTTATCTTAAACTGCTTTGAAACAAGATTTCAATCAAGCGAGAGACACATTTGAGCTTGTTTTCTGTATGATAACAGCCCTCCTTTGAACTGTGATAATACCTCAATTCATGAAGTTATTTTCAACAATCTGAATGAAAGTAGCTTTTAGAATATCAGAGCCAACACAAAGTCGATTATGGTTGTATCAAACCACAGATGTCTTTCTCTGCTCTTTCCTCTTTTTTGTTCTCTTTTTTCACCCAAATTTATCCCTTGCTTCAAGATGAATCCATAGCAAGAGCAAGCTAAACATCTAGGTATCTAACAGATCGTGCTAAAATATTGGTATCATTTTAAAGTTTTGTCAAAAAACAGATCGATTTTGCTCACAAGCCCATTTCAGTTTTTTCTTCCAGAAGATTCTATGTATTTTGTAAACCTTGAAGTAAGCTGAAAGTATGCAAACTTAAAATGTTTGATTCGACTAATCAAATGCAATATTCTGAATGCATTTACTAACTTTTAGTTTTATTTTATGGTTCACAAAGAGATCTTTCGGCAGTTTTAGCCGAAACGTTCCTCTAGTTTTAATCCATCCGTTTTTTGTGGAAAGATTAAAGTGGAATCAGTGACAAAGCAAAATTTGTTCGATACTTGGATGTTTGTTTACAATCAGTTTAGATTCAACTCAATATCCATGTTTTCCTCTCCAAGTTTTTTAATTTTTGGTTTGTTTTGATTTTTGCAGCAGGTGAAACGATCCCAGAACATTGTCCCAGTCACAATTAAACAAATTATCGAAGCTCCTGAAGAAGGCTTAAACATCGCTGGGGTGGAGTCAAACTTGGTAATGGTCACTGTTATTTTAGTGTATTAAGTCATCAACTTTACTCATGTTTTTTATGCAAATTATGGTTTAAGCAGAGACGTGATTTTATGCTAACAACAAGAGAGATTCTCAAAATAGATATTTTTATATCGGTTTTCCCTTGACAAGATACGATTAGGAAGCTGAACAACGTCTAATAGCTTAAATTCGAATAATGCCGTACTTAAAGTTGGTCAGTTTCCTGTGGTCTAGTTGATAATTTCTGTGGTTCAATGGTTAAGTTGACGGTCCTCTTACTAATTTTTGCTTGAACTGTTGTTTTTGGTATTTAGAGTCTTCCTTTTATGCTTAAATTCCCTCATCATTTAGTTTGGTAGTTAGTTATTTTGGTGGAAAAAGATAGTCAAGAGAATTTAAAATAAAGTCACGGTATTCTTGATTGATGAATCCTGAAGTAGGGGGTGAGGTTGAAATTTATGATAGATTGGGGAAAATGTCTGAATTGCCAGTTATCGGGACTTACAGTGTGGAGCCATGAAAAGAAAAGAAAAAATTAGTCGATGTATCTGAAGTATCCTTGTCTTCGATCTGCTTCTTAAAACATCAATAGGTCCGGCAAGTTGGCAACATTGGCTTTTTTCCTTTTAAATATATGGAAATGCATCAATTTGCTGAGGAGCCAGGTGCTCTGACGAGTATCAATTATTCCAAACAGGGATAAATTGAGGATATTCAATATTGCCAACCTGCTGGATGCGCCTTTCCCTGGTTGGAGTCCAAAATGTAGTCCCAGGCATGTGCCCAGCCTGCACCCTCTCGTAAGATAGCACCACTGTTGCTTTCCCTGTAAATCGTTAAAAAATTACTGAGCTCTGCATCGCTCCCCTGTGTTTCTGATTCTTTTGACAAATACAAAAGCAGCTGTATTTCAATTCTTCAAAGATATTACCTGAGTGATCAATCTGCAGCAGACGAGTGAAGATCAAATATGAAATTTATCAGCAATGTTAGGTGTCTAAGGTAAATTAAGATCAGCAATACAACAAGGAATTTAATCTTTTCTTCATACTTTTCTTCTGTTTTAGGTCAAGGTCATCGGTGTAATCAGATCCATCGAATCGACGTCTCTAAAAGCAGTGTACAGATTAGAAGATACAACAGGTGTCATAACAGTCATCGACTGGATTAAGGAAGATGTAAGAACTTTTAAGTGCAAGTAAATTTAGATTTTCATAGTTTTCTTAAGCTGTGCTAAAAATATTGCAAGTAGTTGGTTGATAGATTCTTTTATTCTCTATTGCTCGACTGGCTTCTTTATATGATGACAGAGTAGAATCAAATAAGTTTTGCTCTTGGAGCCATCGTTTTTTAAAAAAGTGACTTTAGTTATTTTAAAACTTCAGCATGTTTTCTGAAGTCCTCATACTCTTGCAAAGTCGATTTTAATAGTGGTCAATCTTCGTTTTCAACAGAAATTTTTTTTTGGCCTCTTTTATCACTGGAAGTTAAATTTTTTGTCCGTACCGTAGACCAACTAAACAGGCTTGTTTTCCTATCAATACGTGCGATAATAATACCGTTTTAAGTTTTTTTGCACTCATAGAGCTATATTCTTGTAGAAGAATAAAACAAAATATCCTTCAAAGTTTTTACTTTCAAAATTTAGCCCCCAAATTGCTCTAAAGTCCGATTTCTAGAATTTTGCGCCATCATTTTTCTCCTAAAAAAGCCAGGAAATGTAATTAAACGCTTAATTTTATTTAATTTCTTTGGAACTAACTTAGAAGATGTGGTAGACAACTTTTTTAAAGAATTTCTACAGGTTTGCTCTTCTTAAAGCTACAAATTGTACAATTTTTTACTGGTCTACGGTACAGGACAATAACGTTACAGTACGGACAAACGGGCTACGGTAAGGACGAAGAGGCATTCGTAAATATTACTGTATGCAAGGGCCGAATTATAAAGAACTGAAATTCATTGGGGAATAAACTGCTAAGTTATAGCATAGCTTATAAGTGCCACTTTTATAAATAATTACAGGCAATAATAAAGGTAAAAAGAGTAAGTAAATCAGTTTTTCAAAAATAATGAACTGCTTTTATTTTAAAGTAAACGCATTAAATAATTAGGGACAAATCTTAGAAGCTGAGTTCTTAAAACAAGCTT